AAATCATTCGTTTGAATTCAATTCAAGATGAGCGAGTTTTCAGCTGTTGTTTGTTGAAAGAAAATGTTATTCATTGAGTAACGCAGGCATAATCGCAGAAGCAAAAAACAAACTCCGAGTGCATTGGCATTGTCCACGTCATTGCTAATGATAATCAAAAAGTTTATAAACATTGACAAATTGTGGCCGATTGGTTAACATGGTGATTTAAGTGAAGGAAGATGTAGTTCAAGGGAATGATACTGAATACGCGGAGAAACAAAAAATTCCGAGTTCTCCTAATGAGAGCCAAACCTACGACCTTCCAATAAATAGTCATCAGCTCCACCACAGACATAGGAGACTCATGGCGAGCTAAGCCGTTTAATTAAGTTCATGGTCACAAACTCCCCGTATACTACGAAGAAAGGAATATCGATATGTGATGCTTATGTACAATGATGATGTCAATGAAGATGATAAAATTCAAGCCAGGTGATCTTGTTCATTGAATGACTCAGGCAAACTGGGGAAAAAAAAAAGAACTTCGAGTGCTCGAACCTACGACCTTCCAGTTGGTTACTTCAGACGCGCTTCCACTAAGCCACGTGAAAAGCTAAGCCGTTTAACTAGGACGGTCTATGATGATAAACTCTCTGCATACGACGAGGATAGAAATGTCACAATGGCGATGTAAATAAAGACGGCAAATTTCAAACCGGGGATTTTTGAAGTGAATGAAGATGTTACTTAATGAAGACACAAACATTCTCTGAGAAAAAAGCCCTGAGTGCCTCCTCGACCTTCCGATTAGCTCTTCGAATACTCTACCACTGAGCTGTAAGAGACTCCTTTGACTAGGTTAGTGGAGACAAACTTCCCGCATACTGCGAGTTGAGAATGTGAATATGTGGTGCTTTCGTCCAATGATAATTAGTAAAGGTAGAAGATAAATTTTAAGCCAGGTGATTTACGTGAAGGAAGAAGTTATTTAGTAAATTACGAAGGTATATTTGAAGGAAAAAGAAACTCCGTATGCTCTCAATAGGTAGGAAACCACAACCTTCCGATTAGTACTTCAGACTTTCACCACCGAGCCCCAGAAGACCTGTGTCAAACAAAGCCGTGTAAAGAGGTCCATTGTGATAAATTGCTGCAAACTGCGAGGATAGCAAGCAGGCCTGGCGAGTTAGGTTATAAAATGTATTATTCAATGTATGACAACGGCACACTAGGAGAAATTTGACAAATTTCAACAAATCTAGAGCAAAATTTATCTTTCAAATCGGCACTATTGTTCCCCACGGTGTCAATGCAACGAAGGCTTTTCATTTTACTGGTTCATTCTTTGTTTTTCACGTTGCCATTTTCCCACCAACAGCGTAGCTACAATTGTTTTTAATTTAAACCAAATACAAGCCGTAATTCCTTTATTCGCTCTGATAAAGGACTCAAAACGTCAGCTTTAGAAACTCTTCAGGTGGCCAGTTTATTCAGTTGATGAAAACAAATTATGTTGCAATTCACCACGTAACAAAGATTATCAATGACGGACTTTTAATTTATTTTTCATTCGAACCCTCTGCTGCAATAAACTAGATCCATGTATCCTGTAGCCATTATCCGTACTTGAACTTTGTTTCTCCTAAACATTAAATAATATTTTGAGCTGCTGTTACTACACAACAGGTAATTTATGGCTGGAATATTAGCTGACTACTCGTATTGCCGAGAGCAACATCGATCGAAAACATGCAAACGTTAATGGATGTTAAAAAAATTTACTCCTGAAAAAAAAAAAAAATGAAAATAGAGAGACAATTCTGTTTAGAAAAGAGAACGAAAAACCCCAGTATTCTTATTAGGGAAGTTCAATCCCTGTTCTTTGACAAAATTTGTCATTGAATAATATTCAGCTGATTGTATGACGTATGACATCTCAATTTGTGTGGATAATGACATAGTTACGATTGTAATTTGGTGTTAAGAAGCACGAGTAAATTTTTCAAAGACAGCAAAATTGCGAGAGCCCGTAGGGCTAGTGCAATTTCTGGTTATTGAAAAATTTACCGGTGCTTATTTATGCAAAGGGAATATTTTCTCGTTCACGCCAAATTGCGTGAGAGATCATGTTACTTGTTAATAATTCATATGAAAAAGCATCCCGGAAAGTCAAGACAGACGAAATTTTGTCGGTGCGCGCGCGATTTGTAATTTTCATTCGTGTTACATGAAAATTCACTCGTTTTCAGCCAATAAGATGCACGTAATTTTTTCTGTGTATATCATTATCAACTATGTTAGAGGCAGGTTATTGCTGGTGAACAAGTGAAGTTCCTCACGTCGTTATGGTTTCCCTAGTCCATTGCAGCTGAACAAGTAAACTTCCTCTCGCCGTTATGATTTTCTTAGTTCATTTTAGCTTTTTCTTGTTAATTTTTCATTTCAAGAGCGCTTTGGCCTGTTTAGATGGTAAGTTCTTTGAACGAGTGTTTCGCGTAATTTATGATTATGTACTCATTTAACTTTTACCCGTTTTACAATTTGAACTTCCTTTACGCATCACTTCACCACTAACCAACCAAAACAGAAATTGCTCAGTTTCGGGAAGGAAACACTTAACGGTATTAAGTGGATGTAGGTTGTTATGTTTTCTTCTCATTTATCCTGCACACGATGCATAACAATATTACACGTATTTTGTACAAGACATGATTTGAATATTGCTAACATTCAGTAAATTGATACTCAAACTCATTTCATCTCAATAAGCATTTCAATATTCCTGTTGAGACATATTTCCGATTTCTTAAACTTTTCTTATGACATCATAACGCCGCGGAACAGATGGCTCAAACCCTCACCATCAGCTTAGCCTTATCAAACATACGAATTAAGTTAAACAAAAAACCCAAAGTTGCTGCGTGGAAGATCGTTCCAGAATTTCACGTTGTTTTTGTTTGTTTTATTTCTTTTTAACACTCATCGCGACCGATACGATAGATTCAAGCCATATGAAACGAATTAAGTTATGCAAAAAACTCAAGGTTGCTACATGGAGAATCGTTACATGACTCAACATTTCAGAATTTCTCGTTGTTTTTTGTTTTATTTCTTTTTAACACTCATTGCGGTCGGTAGAATAGTTTCCAGCCGTATGAAACGAATTAATTCATAAGAAAAAAACCCAAGGTTGCTGCGTGGAGAATCGCTACATGACTCAACATCTCAGGATTTCTGGTTGTATTTTGTTTGTTTTATATCTTTTTAACACTCTTCTCGGCTGATACGATCGATTCAAGCCATATCAGAGTAAGGCCTCTCATCCTTCATTAATTATTAACGTAACACGTTAAGTCTGAGTTTTGAAATACATACATGTGTATCAAGGCGATGGCGTAGTAGTGACATTGGTGACCTTGCTGTATTTTAATTATTTCGTTTATTATCCTCCTAACATTCAAAATTATTTCAGGTAACTGTCGTATATTAGCCTTTCCATCCTCGTTATTCTTCAAGGGGGAACGTCTTGTTAACCACACCACAGCAACTATCAGTGTGATTGACAGGGACACGTGCGAGTTTCGTTGTTACCTGGAACACAGCTGTGTCAGTATCAACTTTAATGTTCAACCGAAAGAGCCTGAGACAGAAAACTGTGAACTGAACAACTCAACCGGTCAAGAACATGAGAAGGACCTGATCAAGGCAGCAAATTATGTTTACCATGGAACAAATGTAAGAACATTTTGCGAAGAGTTAACGAGAAACATGTTCACATTAAGGATAAAATCGATTTAAGGATAACACAGAAAAAAACAGACCCATAGACAAATTAAGTGACAAAACAATTTTGCTGATGATTAGTACTTTGATCTACTCTCTTTAGAATGCCTGTGGTGATTCACCTTGCGAGAACAATGCAACCTGTCAATCAGGTTTTACCAGTCAACGATATCGCTGCTTATGCTCTCCCGGATTTACTGGCCACGATTGTGAGCACGGTAGGAAATTATTACTCCTGTTTTTCTTTTGAGGAAGCAGTTAAATTTGTTTGATCAGATTAAACTAATTTTGTTCTTTAGATGAGTAGAGTCACCGCAATTGAAACTCTGATCGAGCCGAAGGGAAAAATAATCGGTTGAGGTCGTGGACGAGAAGGGAGTGGGTACGGGAATGGGGAAATGGAAATGTCATATAGTCATCAAGATTTGTCAAATTTTCAAACAAGATTAATCGCAAATTCATTACAGGGATTTTATTCGGCCAGGTGAAATTTCATCACTTTCCAATGGTAAATCACAAGTCTACTTCTAAATTCCTCTTTATTCGATAGCTTTCATCGCATAATTAACGGCTAAAAGAGTAGCAGAAATGTTATGGCGTTTCAGGACTTGGGTTGTTCATTTTCTTTCAGTCGTAGATAAGTGCAACAGCAATCCATGTCAGAACCAAGGATCCTGTATTGACGGTAAATGCCAATGTCAGCCTAGATTTTCCGGAGAACTTTGCGAAATAGGTCAGTAACATCTTATTACCATCAGATTTATTTTTACTCTGAAATCGTATTTCAAACCGCCTCTATGAAGACAAAGACAATTATGTGGTATTTTTTCCAGAGGTATGAGGTCTGTAAATGGCGTTCAATACTTAAGTAGATGTCAACCAATTATCCTCACATTTTCAAACGAACTCGCAATTCATTGTAGGGATTTTATGCGGCTGGGTGAAATTTCATATCTTTCCACTGGTAAATCGCAAGTCTAATGCATTTCCCTTTTCTCCATAGCTTTCATCGAATAATAGACTGCTACAAGAGTAGCAGAAATGTAATGGTCTTTAAGGACTTGGGTTGTTTATTTTTCTTCAGAGGTAGGTAAGTGTAACAGCAATCCATGTCAGAACCAAGGATCCTGTAAGGACGGTAAATGCCAATGTCAGCCTGGATTTTCCGGAGAACTTTGCCAAATAGGTTAGTGACATCTTATTATCATCAGATGCACTTTTACTCTGACATCATATTTCAGACCGCCTCTATGAAGACAAAGACAATTATGTGGAATTTTTTTCCCAGAAGTATGAAGTATGTAAATGGCGTTCAATGCTTAAGTAGATGTCAACCAATTATCCTCACATTTTCAAACGAGAATAATGGATGGCTGTCTAATAAAGAACTCGCAAATTCATTACAGGGATTTTATTCGGCTTGGTGAAATTTCATCTCCTTCCACCGGTAAATCACAAGTCTACCGAATTTCCCTTTTTTCCATAGCTTTCATCAAGTAATTGACTATTACAAGAGTAGCAGAAATGTAATGGTCCTTACGGACTTGGGTTGTTTATTTTTCTTTAGAGGTAGATAAGTGTAACAGCAATCCATGTCAGAACCAAGGATCCTGTAAGGACGATAAATGCCAATGTCAGCCTGGATTTTCCGGAGAACTTTGCGAAATAGGTTAGTGACATCTTATTATCATTAGATGTATTTTTACTCTGAAATCGTATCTTAAAACGCCTCTATGAAGACAAAGATAATTATTTGGTTATTTTTTCCAGAAGTATGAGGTATGTAAATCGCGTTCAATGCATAAGTAGATGTCAGTCAATTATCCTTATTTTTACTGGTCTCCGTTTAATATACTACAGACGATTTCCTTTTAATAAAGACTAAATTGAAAGCTATGATTACTTTACAAACGTTTGCAAAACTGAAAGCAAATTAAAGTAACTAAACGAAATGAAAACGCATAACAAGCAATAATATCAAAATTAACTTTATGACAGTCTGTTTGGCATTGATGATGATGATACTTAAGTCACCCTCGTACTTAACAATAAAATAAATATATAGAGAAAACACACACTATTTTAAGTGCATGCTGTAGCCTTCTGTTTGAACATAGTCTCTGCCGGAAGCAAAAGGGGAAAAGAAAAACAGACTTAACATAATTCAGAAGTTTATACGCATATGCAGTGGTTCGAAGGCGAGATACGATGAGTAAAGGTATTAGAATTGACCAGTGACCGGATTTTCATTTAATGTAAGTCGAGTGCCTTATACACATGTGAGGCAAACTTCTGATCAGATGGCCTTTTTTACCCCCTAACAGTGCTGCTTTTTGTTAGTTATAGCCGATCAGTGTGACAGCAATCCATGTCAGAATAACAGCATCTGTGTTGGTGGTAAATGCGAATGCCTTCCTGGATACTCTGGAGAAAATTGCAAAGAAGGCACGTTTGTTATTATAAAACGTATCAATGAGTGAGAAACTTGGATTTGTTTCTCATGGCTTGTAGGATATTTAAATTTACATTCCTCTTTAGAGTCAAGTATTACCTTAAATAGAATCTCAAACCTTAGAATTTTTCGGTCTGATGCTCCAGTACTGAGCCACAAGCTAGATTTAGCGGAAAGACAAGCACAGATTGACACTGATGGCAACCCATTTACTTTCTGTTCTCGTTTTATTGAAGCACTAGACCACAATTTTTATCGTTTTACCTGCGTAACAACCCACGTAGGGTGTCGGGAGAACACAAGAAAAATTTTGTAAATAATGAGCCGTAGGCGAGTGATTTGTACATACTTTTTAAGCGCGATCTACTAAATTGCTGAACTGCACGACAGGTTTGAGACAAATCAGGGCACTCGTAGTATTACGAATGAACGAAGGAATAAATACGTATTATATACATATCTATACATATATATATATATATATATATATATATATATATATATATATATATATGTGTGTGTATACGTATAACTAACTGCAAAATCTAACTAACTGCAGACACTGTTTCGGCCTTCTGGGCCTCATCAGTGCAGTGCTGATGCTAGGATGGAGGTAAGGCTATATAGCCACCCCAAGTGATCTCACACATGTGGTATCATCTAAGCCATGCCAGAGTGCTCAAACTAGAAAAACTAGTGAGCATGCATAATGCTAGCAGCAATGACTCATCCTAGTAGAGTGCTCAATTTGGACATGAAAGCAAAAGCTTTGTATGCCAAAGAGCTATATAACTAACTGCAGACAGTACTGTTTCGGCCTTCTGGGCCTCATCAGTGCAGTGCTGATGCTAGGATGGAGGTAAGGCTATATAGCCACCCCATATATATATATATATATATATATATATATATATATATATATATATATATATATATATATATATATATATATTATGAGAGGAAAAAAGGACGTAACTACATTTCCTGACAAGCCTGTTTCGTGAATCGCTTCACTCTTGAGGGGTTTAACCTAAACCCCTGAAGAGTGAAGCGATTCACGAAACAGGCTTGTCGGGAAATGTAGTTACGTCCTTTTTTCCTCTCATAATATTTATTCTGCTCTGCTTCAACGTATTGAGCACTGTTCCACGCGAAAATCGACTTGCAGACTTCCTATGTATATATATATATATATAGTGTAAAAATTTTGACTTTCTTAAAACAGTGCTCAGTACATAGGAGTAGAGCGATGTATATATTGTGGAGGGAAAAAGACAAATAAACTATATATATATATATATATATGAACTATATTAAAGTTCACACGGCAACCAGGTGGACAATCAGACATAGTTTGAAGCTACACTGGTTTGCAGATTTAATGAATGTAACCGAAGAAGTTACAATTCATAGACCCAACGTTTCGACACTCCTGTCTAGTGCCTTCATCAGGGCTGATCTAAACGCTGCAACAAGAGGTCCTTTTATATGATCACTAATTAGCGGCCCTTTTTCTGACGAGATGTAAATAGGCGTCAGGAAGCAGACCGCCATCGTCACGATTTAAAGGAGCGTGGGCGGAGTTAATGTGCCAAGCCTCCAAACAAAGGCGCTGGTGGTAACGCCGATTAGTGGTGATAATTTTAGAATTATCCCACCCAATTGTATGGTTGGTTAGGCAAGTATGCTCCGATAAAGCTGAATTTTCCTTTTTGCAAAGAAAAACCGCTTTTTGGTGCTCTTTTAACCGTGTACCAAACTGGCGTTTGATCTGTCCGATGTAGTCGTTGTCACAGTCATTGCAAGGAATAGAATAAATGGCGTCGGTTCGTTGTTCTTTCGTAACAAGATCCTTAGGTTTGGCGAAAATATGCCCCAAAGTCTGAAAAGGTTTTTGAGCAACTTTAACGTTGTGGCTATTCAAAATTCTCTTGATGGGTTCAGTAACACCCTGTATGTAAGGAATAACAGCAAAACCAGTCGCTGGTTCCCTTTCATCAAGAGCGTTACTATTTGTAACTGGTTTTTGGCAGTTACGGAGAAAAGTTTTTGTATAGCCATTTGCCTTTAGGACATTGGAAACATATTTCCTCTCCTCAGCCTTCGAATCGAGTGATGATGGTAGACAATCAGCCCTCCTAAGTAAAGTTTTGGCTACAGACTTCTTATGGCAAATAGGATGGTGAGAATCGAAAGCGAGGTATTTGTCGGTGTGGGTGGGTTTACGGTAGACACTTGTCTCTAAATTACCCTGAACCCCTCTGGACACATTTAAATCAAAAAAGGGCAAATGTCTATCCTTTTCACGTTCAAGGGTGAATTGGATCGACGGCTCTACTGAATTCAAATGCGACAAGAGGCGCTCCGCTTCATTTCCGGATACCGCAGAAATAACATCATCGACATATCGTTTCCAGAAAAAGGGTTTAACCGGTGAAGAGGCCGTTGAACGTTATGAACGTTGGACAAAACATCTAACATCGTCTTACAAAGAAACATTCGACAAAGCCAAGCCTCTCTACGACAAAGCCCTTAGATCAAGCGGATTCAACGCAAACCATCACTACCACATGAAAAGCACGAAACATTATCTGGTTTAACCCTCCGTGCAGCAAAAATGTCCAAACTAACGTAGTTAAAACCTTTCTCAACATAATCAAAAAACACTTTCCACCACATCACAATCTGCACCCTGTCTTTAACTAGAACAACGTAAAAGTCAGCTACAGCTGCATGCCGAACATGCGGGCAGCATCATCAACAACAAAATCCTTACCGACAACAACACCCCACCGCAAAACGGATGCGACTGTAGAAAAAAAAACCAATGCCCGCTAGACAGCAACTGCCCCATTACCAGTGTAATTTACAAAGCCATCGTGACCACAGACAAAGACGACACAGGAAAGAACTACATCGGACAAACAGAAGGAACATTCAAACAACGATATACGCAACATAAACTATCATTCCGTAACAGAAAATACGCCAACCGCACCGAACTAGCAAAACACATCTGGAAACTCAAGGACAACAATGAAAACTACAAAATAAGCTGGTCTATCATCTCTTCAGCAAGCGCCTACATCAATATTTCCAAATGATGTAACCTCTGCCTAACTGAAAAACTCTACATTATCAAAGCCGACAAAGCAGGCAACCTTAACAAAAGAACTGAAATAATTTCCAAACGCCGCCATGAGAACAAATACTCCCTAGTGAACATCGACAGCAGATTACAATAGGCTTACTAATTAACTAGCTACTGTATATATATTTAAACTAAGCGAGGTATACTTTTCATTAAAATCTGTCTGATGATCGCGTAAGCGTGAAACTCAGAGCCACAGAAAAGGTACCTCTTGTTGATTTGTCTTACCTTCAGATATACCAGGCTCTGCGAACGCATCGAGCACTATGCCGCAAGGATACATGACGAGCTTTGAACCACTTAATCCTTTTATGCAAATGAGCTAATGCGAGCTTTTCTCGCACAAAGCTCATTTGCATAGTAACCAGATACTTCTGACTCACACAGGCGGCTTCCAAATGATAAACTAACGAAGTGTGAATTATGAAATTAGAAGATCCTCGCAGCTAAGAACACTACTGAAACTAGTAGTTGTAAGTAGGACCTGAAAAAAATTTCAGGCCCGTACGGGATTTGAACCCATGACCTCTGCGATACCGGTGCAGCGCTCTACCAATTGAGCTAACAAGCCAACTGGGAGCTGGTCAATGAATTGGGTACAAATAAACATCCGAGTGAATGAAGATTTAGATATATGAAAATTCACATATTTGCACTGCGGTGGAAAGATGAAATTAGAAGATCCTCGCAGCTAAGAACACTACTGAAACTAGTAGTTGTAAGTAGGACCTGAAAAAAATTTCAGGCCCGTACGGGATTTGAACCCATGACCTCTGCGATACCGGTGCAGCGCTCTACCAATTGAGCTAACATAAAAAAAAAAAAAAATTTTTTTTCAGGTCCTACTTACAACTACTAGTTTCAGTAGTGTTCTTAGCTGCGAGGATCTTCTAATTTCATCTTTCCACCGCAGTGCAAATATGTGAATTTTCATATATCTAAATCTTCATTCACTCGGATGTTTATTTGTACCCAATTCATTGACCAGCTCCCAGTTGGCTTGTTAGCTCAATTGGTAGAGCGCTGCACCGGTATCGCAGAGGTCATGGGTTCAAATCCCGTACGGGCCTGAAATTTTTTTCAGGTCCTACTTACAACTACTAGTTTCAGTAGTGTTCTTAGCTGCGAGGATCTTCTAATTTCATCTTTCCACCGCAGTGCAAATATGTGAATTTTCATATATCTGAAGTGTGAATTAGTTGTACGGTGCCTCATTCTTCCGGAGACGTCAATCAACTGTGCTTTTAATCATAGAACCGATCAGGAATGCGCAAAATTTCACAAAGGCATTTTTACAGGATTTCCGAAATCTCCACCACGTTTCCAATCAGACCGTTCGTCCCCAAAATAAACGTTTTCTTGGGAAAAATGTTTAAAATCAATTATCAAAAAGTATTTTAGAAGGAGCAGAAGCCTGTTACACGTCAGTTGCGAGAGTCGGACGTCACGAGAGTTTGAAGTGATCTGGTGACCGGACATATATGAGAGCAGTGGCTACGGCAAAATGTTATTGCGGTATTACGTTGGGAAAGTATTTCACTCGTGAACCGCTAAACTGGGAATCCCCTCTGAAAATTTCGTTTTGTTATCTTTACATGCTCAACCACAACTTCGGCATAAAGTTGATTTTACACGGAACGACTTATTCGTGTCACTTAGCGCGGACAATTCTTAACAAGGACACCGCGGGCAAGTTTTCTCAACACGCTGCCACAACAAAAATAATGAGTGCAAGTGGTCGTCAAAAATTATATGGTGTAACATCACTTTAAGCTGTTAGAATATTTTCCATTGCAATATTTCATTTTGTTGAGAGTTATTACAAATTTTCGATCAATAGCTTGTTTATTCCACAGCGCGTGTACGAGGGTAGTTCTGAAATTACGTGAGTCAGACGTAACAAATTTCGAGAACGTGGCTCGTGTCGCTCGACGCAAACGGAGTCACATTTACATTTATTTTATTATAACTAAAAGCGGACACAATTTTAAGACACAACTTAAATGACTTCCTTCTTTTAACAAATTTGCAGAATTAGTATAACTATATCTGTTTACTCCTGAAAATATTAAATTCACGTTACGCGTTCTATAATTTTTGCGTTTGTCATACTATTTCGAGATCTATTACTAAAGCCGGGGCCGAGCTATCAACTTAGTCCCTACAGTATTGCCTTAATGAAACGAATTCACGCCGAAATACGGGTATTCTAAGCACCCAAGCATCTCGGTTGTTTACGGGTAGTGAACCTCAGGCATTTAAAAACTCGTGTTCAACTTAAAATCTTCCTATCAGAGTACCCTTGTAAACACCAGGTGAAATGGACTCACACCGAAATACGAGTGTTCCAAGCACCCAAACATCTCAGTTGTTTACGGGTAGCGAAATGTGGCATTTCGAAGCTCGGGTCAATCTGGTAAATTTCTTGTGAAAATACCCTTGTAAACACCAGTTGAAACAAATTCACACCGAAATACGGGTGTTCTATGCACCCAAGCATCTCTGTTGTTTATGGGTAGCGAAGTTGCGGCATTCTTTCAACTTAAAAACTTCTTGTACATTTCAATTTTTCTAGTTCAAGTCTTTCAATTTTTGCATTCAAAATTTTCATGGTCTGCTCTTCATTGCTTTTGGCGCCAATTCGAGAGTCAACACAAACACCATTCACATGGCTCTTTATCCTGGCAAAAAATTCAGATAAAACGAGTCTTTCGGAAATTTCTCGCAGTCGCAAAAGGCCGACAAAAAGTCCAAATCAACTCACAATATACACTTTGCCTGGTTGTCTTTGAAGAGTCTCCCCTTTCTCTGGGACCCACTCGTCGAACAGCCTCTTCCCGCCATTTTTGCTCACTACACTCAATTCCCGCTTTGATACGGAGAATATTTCGTCTGGAAACGGCTGAAAAAGATATTCTGAGAAAAGAATCGTGGAATAATTCCACATGATTCCTTTGTGACTGCATACCAGTTCTTCTGATGATCGATGCAGGGTACAAACACTTGAATAACTGGCCACGAGAGAGTCGGCTGAGGAGCGGGAGATTTTCCCTCCATCGTGTTTCGGCGCCAAAGCAGTACTAAGTTCACTTGAATTTTATTTTTGCCTCTCATTTTTGATATTAACTATTCCTGGGTAATTATAAATCTAAATTTCCCGTTGTGTACATTTGTGCTTGTTGAGCTCAGTGGCGCGCCACACAAACATGCGTTCTAAGAGTCTGGGAACAAGTAACTTACGTAATAGGTATGGTTGTGTGACAAGCGTGACTACCCGATAATGTTCGTATCTTTTCGCGTTTCGATAAGTGGTCCTCTCCTGATCGTTTACGACATGGAAAAATGAGAGTTAGACAAGCTACATTCAGGGACAATTTTTACTTGGTTCTCAGGCCGACAAGGACAATCTGCTGTGTGCACGGTTTGTTACATGCCACAGAACGTGATGCTTGTGATGATGGCGTTCTACCGCAGCAAAAGAGAGAGGTTGACACCTCGTACCTCCTAAATGGCAGCTGCAAAATATCAGTCTTGGGGTAAAATCCTTGATACTGCTTCAAAACTCACGCGTTCAAACTTCACGGACAACGCTCCAAAATATAAAATACTTCTCTTGACTTGTTTTTTTGAAGCACCGAATATAACGGCAAGCTCAATTTTGACACTCTTTCAGCATTTGGTTCGTATCGATTTAAAAACATCTCGCTACTTTCGAGTGATATCACTCCCTCCAATAAAGAAACTTTAAAGGGCGCATAGTGAAGTGTTCAGAGAGTAGATTTCCAGTAAGTGCGATGTTCCAGCTGGAGACAAACCTTGTTTAATAATGACAAGAAAAACACGGCAGAGAAAATTAAAAAAAAAAAATTTTTTATTATTTTACTTTATTTGAGTTTTTTTCTGGGGTGGGAAAACACGTTGCTCGCTTGCAAAGTCCGCAGATGTTGTGAACTATCCCATTGCAAGATCTGCCGTGGGTTATTATTTCATGAAACGTGCTAATTGATATTTTGTATATTAAACGTGTTGATTCATTTTATCCAACAAAAGTCAATAAAGCCATAAGTATAATTGACAAGAGTTAACGCCTCGAGTAGATGGTGGGGGGCCGAATTCTTTTGGTGTTCAAAGCTCGTCATGCTATAATCAAGATTTATATATATATATATATCACCCAATTTCAAAAAATTTGCAATTTGAATCATATGTCAAATATACAGTTGAGTTGAGGTTCAGCAGTTGTTGCTGTTATTTAAATTAATACCGGCTTACGTCTGCACATTTTTGTTTTAACGTTTCTCAGATGTCGATGAATGTTCCAGCGGTGTACACTCTTGCCATAGTTCAGCCTCATGTATCAACACTATTGGATCCTACACATGTTCCTGTAACAATCTTACTGCAGGAGATGGAAAAACTTGCAACCTAGCATCGGGTTAGTTCCTTTTGTCTGATAGCTTCCCTGCCTACTCTTATTAATGTTTTTAGAAACTATTTTTTGCTTGAATGTACATTTGGTATTGAAAGAGTGTTAGATAAAACTCTACTGGCAGACTAGACTGAGCTTGGTTTCACTTGTTTTGCTTCTCTCTGACACAGAGTGTCAAAACTATTGGAATCTGACTTCTGGTAACAGGAGGGTAACATCTGGTTATGACCGGCACTGTGACTGGGGACTTTACGGCTGGTATCGTTTTAGTGAGGCAGCAGGCATAAGAATGGCTACTTCATGTCCGCGTTTCGGGAGTTGTGGCAGTACTGTAACCGGGTGGTTGAGTGGTGGACATCCCTCAGTGGCTGACGGAGAGGTCAGCAGGTCGGTCTGCTTTCGCTCGTATTTATTCTGCTGTCGGTGGTCTCGGTCCATCAAAGTGAGAAACTGCGGCGCCTATTATGTTTATTACCTACGTGGCACACCCTTTTGTAACTTCCGTTACTGCAGCACTGGCTAAATCCAAAAGAAGTGAAACGTTCTCTTAGAGAGAGAATAATAGAACCTATCTTTACACTTTAAGTGTTTAAAAAGTAAAAACAGCATTCATGACCAGGAGATCTTTAGAATTAAAATTATAGTCATTCAAATAATCTGAAAACCCAAAGGAACCTTTGATAAGCAAAGGCTTTTCAGGTTGGTCTACCCCACCCCTCCTCCCCCCACAGAAATAAAAACTGATGTAATCAAGGCTCTTAGAAAATTCCAAACCATCTTCAAAATGGTTTGAATCATTTGAACACTGTGATGTAGTTAATTAGCACTTTCAGTACTACTCCTATAAATTTTTTTGGTAAATCGATATCCCTAACAGTGGTTTGAAATCTTTGCGGAGGTGTACATTTTAACGCAAATTATAGAAGTAGTGTTAAAATGAGAACCCCTCCCTCAAATTCAATTTTATTTTGAAGGGCCACATTCTTTGACTATCGCGTGTTTACCGGCTGTCGTTTCAGAAAGTCATTACATACTTATTAGCTGGAAAAAACATAAGATCGTAAACTTGTAGTTAACTGTTATCGTGCAGTGTGACTAATATGATTATTATGATAAACACCAGAACACCAAACGCCTTTCGCAAGCAATACGAGGCAAGGGCAGTTATACAGGCTAAATTGTGAATAAATCAACTAGAACCTTTAAAATCATGAATAATTATTTTTCGTTAGTTTCCTACAGTGTATACATACGAGTTTTAAAAGTTTACTTGCTTGTTTCATCAACAGGCCATTTTCGAGATGCAGAAAGCGTCTATTTTTCCAGGTTAAGGGAAAGTTTTCAATATGAAAATGATTTCTTTCATAATATTGAATGTTTCTGTAACTATAATGTTAGAATTATTCTCTCTAACACTCGTTGTGGACTGGTGGAACCTTCTTTATTTGCTTCTCTCCTTAAGTTGTTACAGTAGGGACTAGCTTCAATCTAACTAGGAAAACTAGAGTCTCCGCTTATAAAGGTGTTACTGCGGATGACATTTTTAAGCCGTCAATCTTCTTGTGTCGCCATCTCAACCAGCGAATCACGCTTGACTACGTATTATAGTTCCCACACACTGAGTAAGCACTCAGGGTTGTCTACGCAGTTACAAAATCAATTTCTTTCCTAATTTTCATATCTTTACGGTTGAGATCGGCCAGAACAGAAACGAGATCGACAATATAAAAATTACAAATAACCTTGGTGTAGGGTATTATTTATACCTGAAAGTGTATTTTTAAGAGCAAATCACCTTTAAGGATTGTTACATAACAACATCTTGGTCACAAGAGTTAAAGAAGAAGGGCGCTCACAAGTACCGCACCCAAATTGCTTCTTGTTGCGAAAACATGAGGGACATCACCTGTTTACCCTTAAATTACCTCTGAGAACACGAAGGTGTCGAACGCGACATATTACCAGGGAGATTTACTCTTCCTGGACTAACAAATTAACTTATTTAAGAACATGGCCTATCACGAGTTCCATGTCAACCTCACGATCACAACGAAGAAAAACGTGATTAAACTCACTAGGTGAACGTGGCCAAACTCACAAGAAGAACGTGGTTAGACTCAACCTTTAAGATAAGACCACCAAGAAGGCGTACGAAGCAATCAACCTGCCCTTTTTATAATTTACTTTAAATGACTTAGAATAATATAATATTCTCATTTCTTTTCCTTCTAACACCAATACAGAAAACCCTTACGATATTATAGATTAACTATGATTGTAATTTTATCATTTAACAATAACACTAACTCTAATTTCTTAAAATATTGATTCCTAACTTGTTTTAAATTAACAGTGCTCCTTTAGTGAATAATTTTACGTTACACTGCTGAAGGATCTTACGTAGATATGGGCTGCCAAGTTGCAGTGAAAGACGAAATTATGTAAGTGACGCCCTTTCCAGTTTATTTCTGGCGTTTTCTAAGAAAAGTTTGAGCCAAATGTTTCTCTTGACGTTTATTTAGAGCACGAAACGTCAGCAAAAAAATACATATTTAACCAAAAGGACACAGTTGGCTGTACATGAAGTTGATTTTTCTTTATTGAACAGCAAGAAACCTAACGAACTCGCACAGGCATCAGGAACTTTGTCAACTTCACTTAAGAACCGCCTCGCTCAGAGGAAAGAGTTATGACCGTCATTTCTGGCTCAACTAATTGCATCGCTGAGTTGCGTTAGTCATCAACGTCCTTACTTTAATCTGTAAATTTTTAGTTGTTTGAATTAAATAAACTTTAGGAAGGGTATAAAATGTTCCTTAATGCTTCCTTCTTTCACAAGAGAGTCATATGATCATCCTTCCCGTGTTAAAAAGCCTCCTATATTTTCCTGTGAACCTGGTTATATTGAGTCAAACCTTTCTTAATGATTTCACCCTTTGAAATTATTGCTACCCCTTAAGGCCTGACGATTGGTAACTCAGAGGGCGCAAGATTAGGAGCTTGTCGGGATAGTACGCAGTCCCACGGAAGGGAACTTGAGAAATAGAACCTATACTGCATAGAGTTACCAGCCCCTGTTAAGAGAATTAGGTTCTCTTGTTGTTGTGTGTTTCTTCATCCCATACCTTTAATTATTCAATTCCGAAGACTGAGACGTAGATTAATAACATGCAATAAGCTTATTAATAGATAATTGAAATATTCTGATACTTAGTGTGAAGAGGCAAGGGCCTACTTCAATTAACACATTTTAATTTATTCAGCACTCTATTTACTACTCTTTTAATGTGCAGGTGAAGAAGAAGTAAATTCGTAAAAAGCGTAAAACGACTTTAACAAAAAATCTACTTGCAAATAAGACTGGAGAAATAAATATAACGATACGATGAGACCAAACTTATCAAATGCTGAGGAAATATACGAGACACGAAACATTCGCAGGGAAGAGGTTTACATAGAGGCAAAAATAAAAACACATAATGCCAGAATGGACGTGAAACATGAATTATATAAGGCGGGGTACTTTAGTGCCGCCTAAAGTGATGAAATAATGACGCATAAATGATAGGTGAAAAAACGAAAAGAATAAGCGTAAATTAATTGGTGCGAAAAGTATAAGACTTAAATGTGAAAGAAATCAACAAATTACAAATTCGCGGCGACAAAATGTTTCATTTTAGGCAGATAGCCACAAAAGGTCACTGAAATTTGAGGCATTGACATTTAGTTGCGAGCTGAGGCCATTATCAGTTCAAATTGTTCCATCTGAGGACAGCTGTGTGTAAGAAAGGTCAACGTTTAATGCACATATATTTTCATTTCTCAGAGAGGCCGTTATGTCAACATTTGTGAAATGATTTACTTGACGCTCTCTCAATGCAGCCACAAGGGTTCACTGAACCTCTTTTTTTCTCCTCTTCCGCGTTGTGTGCCGCAAAATTCGAGAAGTTGCGCTAGGAATTATACTGCCAGTCGTCAAACTTTTATAACATAACACATAAAATAAATGAAGACATCTCTTTCCAATCCTGTAATAACCGTTAGAAAAATGGAATGTTTTTATTACCTTAACACCATATCTGACCTTGATATAATTTGCATCTGCCTACAGGGTCACATTAGCGGGAAGATAAAGAAGATAATTTTCCGCGAATGTAAACCCGCACAAAAGACTACTTTGTTGGAACTGCAAATAAAACAACTTTCCTATGGGGCATAATTAAATAGCAGCTTATCAACAACAGTCCTATTGGCTGAAAACTGATGCGCATGACGTTCACCTTCAAACCAGTCATAGCTATTAATTGAGTACGTGCGAGTCAACTTATTGGTGCTAATTAAGATTTGAAGTTCCTCAAATTTGCATCAATTTCCCCTAAGCTTCCCCACATGTTTAGAAAGTAAGATTTCACGCAAATGGGTTTTCTCCTCCACTTTGTTTTTTTCTTGCTGATTAAGAATGTTATATCTTGTTTGGTTGGTAAGTATATATCACGTTGCCTTTACGTAGCTCTCACAACGAGTTGTCATTTTATACTATATTTATTTGTTCTCCTATTCCAATTGTTACTCATGCATATTTTACTTTTTTATTTTCTTCTCTATGTTTATCTTTTAATGTTGAAGATCTTTGTTGTTTTGAAGCGAGGGATTTTTAAAGACTTAAAAAAGAAATCTTCTGGTTTTCAGAGCAGAAATCCGTTCCCAATCCTGTACTTAAGGGAGTATGTCGCAAGTTTGGATCAATTTGGAAGCGATATTCTAATTTATTTTATTTACCTTTGCTTGTCCTAGGACAAAAAAACCCAAACTTTACCTCGCAACACATTACCTGAAATTATGTTGACGGTTTATCAAGTATTTTTCCAAGTTAGATTATATCCAGTCTAGCACAGTTATAGCACGCATATCCAACGAGCTGTGCAATGAGCCTCCTAACCGAGTTTTGAGGAAAAGAGATCATCCTTAGCTTATACTGGCTTCACGTTTGGGCTTTATTTCTATTCTGAATTCTTTTTATTCATCAATCCTTAGTCTATTATATTTTAGTTCAATTCCTGTTATTTTATTTCAGTGTCAGAATAACTCAAACTAGGGGTGATAACCGCGTTTAAACGTTATACAGGCTTTTTGAGTATTCATTATTTGTAAAATTAACATATTGTCCAAATTTTTTGGCAGCATGACAGAATTGCCAAAACACCTAAAGGTGTATCACCCTTCAATTCATATTAAAACGAAAAATGATGTTAATAACAATACCAACACGTTTTTGCATTGCCTTAGTTTGAATAACATGGATCATATCGCCTATTTTAAACAGAATTTCTTATTTCATGATCTGAAAGAGCCTGGAAACATATACTCAAACGTTCATATTAAAAAGTGTTTCAGGAAAATCAAGAACATCCACGATCCTCCTCAGATGTTGTAGTTTCAAAAGTTTCATCTATTTTAGATCAATGCCGTATACTGGCATTTCCCTCCACTTTGTTCTTCGTGGGAGAACGTCTTGTTAACCACACCATAGCAAACATCAGTGTGATTGACAAGGACACGTGTGAATATCGTTGCTACGTGGACCACAACTGTGTCAGTGTTAACTTTTATTTTGGAGAAAACGGAGCAGAAGCACACAACTGTGAACTGAATAACTCAACGAGTAAAGAACACGATAAGGATCTGGTGAAGGCAACGAACTATGTGTACCATGGAACAAAAGTAAGGAGACAATGTCTCTAAGCAATCGATTTAATATGTTCTAAGTTCTAAGTTCTAAGGGAAAATTTTACGTTTTTTTTATGGGTTTTTCACGTATTTTTTCACGTGTGTTGATAGAGCCAATCAACTGCTGTAGGTCACTCGCCTTTGGCGCTACTCGGTTTGGTTGATGAATGAACGGCAAAGCCTTCACGATTCTTAATACAAGCTGTTTGTTGGAGCTTTCTCGAATTATGGCGGCTAAAACATTAAAATATCCGTATCGCTGACAGACAGTGAGGTTCAAACTTTCTTAGAAGGGGAAGAAAACCAATGTACTAAAAGAAAAACCAAAAGTTACTCATTCGGGGGCTTTGGTGTTAGCATTTCTTTCGGCTGAGAATGAAAATCGACTGCTGGAAAATTTGCTGCTGGACGATTTTGGCCATTTACCTGAAAGACTTCTTCTGTCGGTAAGGACAAACTCAATAAATGAGGATTTTGTAAATTAAAAATTACGACCATTGTTGTTTTTTAATCATGATTCGAAGCATTTTTCCATCTTAAGAGTTAGCGCCAACGCACTCTACGATTGTTATTTGGGGATTGTCGATTTATTCATTTTCATTCATTAATGGAGTCGGCTTTTCTTATCACCTCTTCTTCTACTTTATTAAATGATAAAGTGTACCAACGCATCACGTCAATATAAATATAATAAAATAATAAATAAATAAATAATAAATAAACACTGGTTAAAAAATATATATGTGATAATAGGAATTTTTTAAAACCATTTCTCAGTTTCGATAAGATGGTCGCGCAGAGCGGCCTCAAATTTTAAATTATCATCTATATTTACAATGTCACCTGGAAGTCTTTTCCATTGGTTGGCTGAGCACGGAAAAAAGCTGTATGCATATTGATTGCAATTTGAATCAATAAAGGACTATTGTGTTTATATGATAAACAAAATAATACATGGTTGCTTGTGGATATGGAATTTCTCTTCTCGTGTTCAACTCGACATCTCACTCGTTCGCTGCCCTCACTCGTGCACTATCGGGTTAAACACGAAGAAAAATTCCATATTTACGCACGCCCATGTATTATTCTCTATTTATTAATATTTTTCAGAATGCTTGTGGTCGTGCTCACTGCAATAACAACGCCATTTGTCAGTCTGGTTTAACAAACAAGGGATATCGATGCTTATGTTCTGTTGGATTTACGGGAGCTCATTGTGAACAAGGTGAGACGGTGATATCAGTTTTTTATCTGTAGCAAAAATTATTAGCGTTTCGTATTCTGGAACAAGACAGTTTAATCGATGTTAAGTGAATGTTTCAGTGTATAACATACCCATGGCTTAATTTTATCTAACTCTGAAGACTTTTGTTATTACCCTAGTTTCAATCTCTTTGTCGCGAAAAATGTGCATTTTGTATTAATTCTTTCTTTCTAGATATTGACGAGTGTACAAAGAAAACTTACGGATGTGATGTTAATGCCGAATGCCATAATACTGAGGGATCATTTTTCTGTAAATGCAAGGCTGGTTATGTGGGAAATGGTCAAAATTGTGCAGGTAAGGAACTTATCTGTTTCATGACTCCTTACTTTACATCGTGTTCAAAAATTGCGGCAGATCTGGGGCAAGTGAGCGGCCACACTATTAAAAAATTAATTAGCACTTCTTTACTGCCTTAGTTCTTTGGATTACGAGCAAACATGTCAAATATATCGATAGTGACCCCCACCACACAGCACATGTACCAACGCTGAACATTATATCGCGAATTTTCCACCCATGGATTGCCTTCTGGGAGTGATAGGTAACAGAGGCTTTCCTGCGCTTGAGGCCAGTTAGCTGTATCACTTTGAAAATACCTCTGATTCCTCCCCACATTAAACCTTTCTTTTTCTTATTGGTACATCGACGAGAGGCGCTTTGTGATGTACGACTCGGCTTTACTAAGAAAGACACAAGGGAGGATGTGAAAGAGACTCTGAAGGCCTCGATATTTTTTTCCAATCTTTGTAACTCTCACAGTTATGAACATGAAAAACGACTTATGATTCAACAGTTGTTTTTTGTTAGCGGCAAATCTTCCCAGAGTACGACCAAAGATAAGGCATCCCATGTTATAAGTTTTCCCGAACTCAATTAAGGCACGTTATCAATTTTTTCTGTATCAGAAATTTTGGACTGTGCGCAAACTCCATGTCATAATGGAGGGGCCTGTACCAACGAAGGTGATGGATACAGATGCAAATGTCTTCATGGATTCACTGGTACTTACTGTGAAACAGGTTGAATAGGCAATGCTTTTTTTTCAATAAAATTATTTTCAATAAAATTTAATATTGTAGGCACTAAGTATTGTTCCTGCAAACATTTTCAAGAAGAGTGCTACTGTATCGACCAAATTTACAGATATCACTACGATGGCGATTGGGGTTTACAGGAGATAGCTGTAAAGCACTGACACTTGGACTCTTTAATCCACAATCATTAATTTTGTGTAATTAGGGAAATAAGTTGTTTCACCCAAGTTTTTTAATCGCGGAAAAACCGTTTTATAAATGGACTTTGGACAATTTCTTGAGCTAAAAAGCAAGAAATTCTATTCTGTACCTAGAAACATGGATTCTTTATTCATATTTTTAGAAATTGATGACATTTTACTAATAAAGTATAAGTAATATCTTATTATGCAACTAATTTGTGTAATGATTTTAAGACAACCGGAAATATTTGCTAAATACGATTTGGTATGGATATCGACAACTGTGCCAACAAACCTTGTTTGAAAAAAGGGACGTGCGTTGACGATATGAACAAACACAGTTGCATTTGTGCAATTGGGTGCAGTGAAAAAAACTTGAAATAGGAAGGCTACTCTTTGATCGACCGTTAAAATGGGGCTGCTTCACACTGAAGTAGTGAAAAGATGATCACGAATTCTAGCTTTTATGTTTAATTGTTTACATACCTAAAGTACTATGCAAATAAAATCTGTGCTGTAGATTCCCAGGCAGATCCTCTATTGTGAGGGGACGGATCTGGTAATTTAACCTTTACATTCCTTAAAGTAAAGAAACACAGTAATAAACCTGGTTTATTTTCTATCAGATATTGACGAGTGTGCTCAAAATACTCACAGCTGTAGTATGACCAGTGGGGTTTGTAAAAATACGCCAGGATCATTTAGATGCAGTTGTAAACCGGGGTTCATCGGCGACGGACACAATTGTGAAGGTTTGTCAAGATGTTGATGGCATATAGCAATCATGAACCAATGTTACTCTGATTAGTGACACATTTTGCAATCTGTAAATTGTACAAAAGATGACAATAAGCAAATATAAGCAACAAGCGAAAAGTCCAAAACTGCTCATAAAACGCATAGAAGAGATCTTAACATTTGAACCTTTCATGCACAACTCTTCAGCACAAGGTCATACACGATAAAAATGTTGTGCTTCTTCATTTTTTGTTTTGCTACCTGGTTGTGTTCAGTTCCAGAGTAAACTGAGTGTATAAGAATAGGGAGGCATTTTACTGAGAACATAGGTGTTGGAGAGTAACGTAAGTGAAGATCAACTACCGAATCATTTTCTGTGTCTAGGAACATGTAGAAAAATACATCCGTGGTTTTCATTTCGATTGTTGCAGGATACATAAACAGCTCAAATATATTGTCGAAAAATGAATCTTATTTCGCTTATCTTCGTGGGTTCCTGGTCCCTGCCGTTGGAAATAATACTGGTTGGCTGCTATGCTACCGCGCCTCCTTACATGGATGGGCTGGTGAGGAGTTCCACACCCGTTGCGATGGAAAGGGAAATATCGTAACGTTTATTCAGACAGACCAGTATGTTTTTGGAGGGTACACTGATATTCCATGGGGTAAGAAACGGTTTCCACTTTATAGTATAACAGGGTAATTTAGTATTATCAACTGAGTTGATTACGTAAATTAGCCACCGTAAAGAGTTTTAAAGCTAAGTCTGGCTATTGATGTCACATCTGCCAAATATACAATCAAGCAAGTTTATCTTTGCAATAGCTGAAAGGATTTCCAACTTGTTTAGTATCTTCATTATGCGAACAAGTGTTAGTAAACATGCTCTCTCATTTTCGGAAAACAAGATTCAAAGTTCCAATGTCAAATAACATGAAGAAAAACCAGGGAGACAACATGATGAGTAAAAACCAGAATTTATAATGGTATCGTACATGTCTAAGACGTATTGTCAATCAGTACCTACCAGTTCACTTCAGTTGGACATGTGACGTAAACCTTACAGACAGTTTGGATATAATGACTATGACCAGTATTATAGATAGAATTCACGAAAAGGATTCACGCGAACCGTCCGAAAAGAGCACTTCTCTGATGCCTTGGTGTGTAAATATGGGATTCAAAACAGGTATCATGACCTCATTTTCAAACATTAGTGCGAGGAAATTATACCGTTACTATCTAAAGATTTCATCAATCGTTTAAATAACTGTTCGTCCAAAGAAAAAAAGCCATACATGATTAACTGATTCAAAATTTTTCTTGGCAGGTTGTTCTCCCGGAGCAAGAACAGAAGACCAGTCAGGTCGCTGTTGTGTATTTCCTTTCAAGTATAAAGGCCATACCTACAATCAATGTATATTGGGAAAACTTTTCAAACGGTGGTGCTCATTCGATGCTGTCTACAGTCGTCATTGGGCTTATTGCGGTGAGGAAAAAGTTATTCTTGAGAATGTATTATGTATATATGTATATATGTTTAAATATATTAGTATTTTTCTCTCACCTTTTTTCAGTCTCAATAACTTCATGAAAAAAATATTGAACAATTAAGTCATAGGATGATTTCTTTCAACTCCGGCTGTATGTTACCAGCTTTAATAGAGGAAAAATGTAAACTGGTAAAAAATTCCTATAAAAGGTTTCAATTTTAGCTTATTGTCTTGACCTGTAGATGATGATCCGTACAAAGGATATCACACGACAGACAAGGCTTTTATTTTTTCGCTCAAAAACAAAGAAGGACTAGCGCCGTTTAAGAGTATGGTGAATCATGACTCCCAAGCCATTTATATGGAGATAAGTCGTGGTCCAACATTTGGTGGAGGTCACGATATTCATATTGCTAACAACGCAGGTCATAATGTTCATTCGTACACCGACTTTGGTCACTCTTTCTTGGCTCCAAGTGAAGTAAAGGAAAAGGATACAGTGTTAGCTGGAACTCACCATTTTACTCCCGACGAGGTAGAAGTATTCTATCTCCCTTAGAGCTGGAATTACAATAGCAAGTCTATTTCTGTTTCTAAGCCAGGTAACTAAAACTCACGCTGTCTCTGCCCACTGAAAAGGCGAAATTCTGGGCGGTAAGTAACAATGGATTAACATTCCGTCCAGGAAAAGGGTGTAGACGTGTGATATGCAAGGGTATACATGCTGTAATTGCCGTAACCAGAATGAACTCCAAGGTTATGGGCCACTCAGGCTCGACTTATGCGCAGACTTTTGATTATGTTTAGCGGGCATTAGAGTTGTAATTGAAGATTCTCTACTTTGTTGTTAATGCATGCCTTGAAGTGAGACCTGTGGTTTGAACTTTTAATTAAGTTTTTATGTCTAATCAAAACTAAGAAATCCAAAAATATATTGACAGGGGTGGAGAACAACTTTAAAAAAATTTTATGGAATAATTGGCAGGGTATTGTAATTTATTTTAGAGGCGTAAAACCACACCACGTCACATAATCATTTTGGAATCTTAATATTTACACGTTGAACAAAGTCAGATAACAATTAGAAATATTCACGAGATACTTTCTCGGGAAAGCAATTATGTGGTCGTTACCTTCCACTCTTATGACAGTAGAGGTGGAGTTTTCGTCTTTTCCCGGAAAATTTTGCTGTTTTGTTAATTTCTTTATGGGTTTTACATTAACCAAATGCCAATTATTCTCAGGATATTTGCTCCTAGCTCAACAAGGTTATTAGATGTGTTATAACTAGCAAAAAGTAGCTTAGAGGTGGTCATGAACGCTGCGCAATGCTCACTATTGTGATAATAAGCTTATGATTGCATGTTAACAATCTCAAGCCATGTTTGTAATAAAATTGGCAATTTATATCAATAACAACTTTAAGGACCCCAAACTCCTGACGAGTAAAATGGACTCCTGACGAGTAAAACAAAAACACTCGTCTAGAAGCTGTCACCTAGTAAAGGACTTCATGTTTAACAAAGACCTAACAATATGGCCAAAAACTTTTTAAATTAAAAGCTGTATTTAACTAAATCAAAACTCGGTTGAGTCTGTTGATATTGTGTGACTCTCGCAACTGCAGAGGGAATAGCCTGCCTCTATATCCAAGGGAAAAGCGATTAAAATTTTATTTATCAATACTAAGTGCGTGAAAACCTCATTTTATTGTAATTTATAGAGTAATTATTTTAACTTTTCACTAAAGTCCTCACTAAGTGGACAGGGAGGAATGTGTTATTACAGTGCAAACAAAGTATACTAAAGGACTAGCAGTTAGGAACACTCAATTCTTCTTTGATTTCATACATTGAACCGGCAATGACACTTTTTTTCAATTGCGGTACTTTTACCTATTCGCATGTCATAACTCGGGAAAGGTGGAAGCGAGCCCTTATTATAATTCACGTTTTGTGCTTTAAAAGAGAAAATAGAATGAGGTGGAGGGAGGATTATTCACTATTGTGTCGAGGTTCACTACTCGGGTCTGCTTTCCCCCCTGTGATAACCTCACAAAATATTTGATTAAAGAGGGAAAAACGCCTTGTGTTGTTTATTTAACAAAAAAGTGTGGATGGACGGCAGCGTCTAAACTCGGTTGGTTTTCTATGAATGTTAACTGTAGATTCATTAACAGCGGAGAAGTGTGTTGTGAACATTTCGCCTTGTAAAAATTCTCTTCTTCGCGTTTCTGATGGAGCTTGTCACAATTAATGATCAATGCAGGACAGAAGTAAGCATTCAAGGTATGTCTCTCAAACTTTCCTTCTTCAAAAGATAGTTGTGGCGGCTCTTCACCTTTGCGATGTCAAATGTGAACAAGACATCACGTGCCAAAGCTATAACTACGACAGAAATACAAAATATGTGAATTAAATAACCGCACTAAGGAGGCAAGACCACGGAATTTCCTTTCAGCCCTTTTATGGTTTTATATCCGAAGAGGTAGGATATCAAGAATCTGTTTGTCTATCGGATCTGAATTTCTTTAAGAATACGGTAGACCTTCGCAGGTGTCGTTCGCATAGAAAAAAAAAAACAAAAAATGGCGCCATTTGAAGCATAACCACCATAAAATATATATCAGTGGGAAGGATAGCAAATGTGCTATCCGAAAAACACTTTCCCGTTTTAGCTTGCATTATTTGTAAACCGAAAAAGGATCGACAATTCTAAATGGACGATGTTTATTTAAGCTTATTGGCCAGGTATCAAATCTGACCGCCCTTCAGGCTTCCTGCGCATATTTTGCCCGTGACAGACCTCAGTTCAATTTATGGCTTTGGTGTTGCTTTTATAAATAAATTGAGTAAGCTAAACATAAATTACCTACTAAAAAAGATAGCTTATTTGACTCAACTTATAGATAACGATCGTTTAAAGGATATCGTAGGACAGACGAGGCTTTCATTTCATTCAAAAGAAGAAGGTCCGTCGCCGTTCAAGAGTATGTGAGCTCAACTATGGTCCAATGTTTCAACGTAAAATGCATATGCATCAAGTGGCAGACTCAACAATTGAAGTCACCTTTTTTCATTTTTACATTCACTTGCTCTGTAATAACTCTTTTTATAACTATATAAGCTCCTGGAACTTTCATGAATGTTGAATAATTAATAACACTAACAATAACTGTCACTGTTACAGAAACTGTTTCAATCAGTATTGGCAACAATAGAAAATGGTGGTAAACCAGTCCAGGTCAATGCCTCTACAACTCTGGGTTACACCAAAGAACAGGCAGAGGCTATTCACAGGTTGAAATCAGCGAAAGATAACTACGAGAGACTGGGGCTGACAGCCGGAGCGACCGAGTAACATCAATCAGTCTCAAATTATTGCCCTGGTTTTATTATCACCTTTAGTAAAAATGAGGAACAACATACGATATCGCATATTTTTGTAACCGAAGAAGCAATAAAATGAAATCTATTTTTGTCATGAAATAAACAGCAAAATGAATTGGCTAAGTCTGCAGACTTGTAACGTTCATGCAGTGGTCGACTGATCAACAGCTATTTTCATAAACTTGTAAACTTTTCTTGTCAGTTTGTTTTCTTCGTCTTCGTCAACAACTCGTGCTATTGCTTTACTGCAAGCTTACATTTCTCAATTTTAACTGTTGTCTCTGACATTCTCCAAATCGTGCGCTGAGACTGTTAGACAGAACACTTAGGTCTAGAAGGAAATTAACCAAGCCTTTAGGAGGTTGGCCATCTTAATACACCCAGACAAAAGCTTGGCGCCAGGAACCGAGGATGCATCCATGACAATCATCGATGACGTTGCCAATGAAACTTTCACTTCTTCTTTGTGCACTATGATGTTACCAGTCTATTCTTCTTAAACCTTCCACTCCCAAGATCTCATTAGTAATTCCCCCTACTGTCTGCCATCCGATTCATACGATGTTAATTGGGAGAATAAGGTATTGGATCAACTGATGATCCCCTAATTAGCATTTTTCTTTATTCTCATTACTTGTCAGATATAATATTGATATTTTAGGGAGAAATTCTGTCTTGGTCACTCTCAGCAGTTAGTGGGTAAAAGCCCCTCAAACCAAGTAAGCTTTGATGAAAGGGTTATTACAAAGCTTTACTAAAAAGTGGAAAATATTGCCGTGACAATGACCCATGAATACTTTTACTGCTCCTTTCATGCGAGATTTCTTTGTTCTTATCTTGTTCCGGCGTTAGGCTTGAAATCAATAACATTTCGGCTTTAAAGACAATTAGATTAATCATATAACGACAGGATTAACTAACTTAAATAGGAAATCGTGTTTCAATCCATGTAAATACTGTGAAAAATAATTTGACAAACTGACCTGGATATGTGGTCTTGAATTTTCTTTCCTACTGTGCGATGTTAAGGCAAAGATCAGTTTGTAAAACAATTAAAAAAAAACAATTAAAAAAAACCAAACCATTAAAAAAAGAGAAAACTTGAAACATTTCTTTTCAACGTCTCCATATTTTACCGATAAAGGTACCTTGAAATAGGTTTCCGAGACACCTACTGACTATATTCAAAGCGCTAAAATGAAAATCTTTCCTTCTTCACAGTCGAACCAGTTTCACACATTTGTTAACCAATGGATTTAAGTTTGAAATGGCGGGTGTCTTATGGCAATCCCTGTTATGATGCGAACGTTATCTGGAAATCCCGTGAAAAAGTTTTTGGAGTAGAGCTTGGAAAATCCTCGCTAGATTTTCTCACAGCTTCACGAATACATTTTTTGAGACGATGCCTGTTGAGTGAATTTCCACAAACTTAAGTGATATTGCCTAATTTCCAAACCTCACCTCTACAAAGATGAAATCATTCGTTCAAAAATCAATTCAAGATAAGCGAGTTTTTAGCAGTTACTTGTTTACATGAAGATGTTATTCAGTGAGTGACTTAGGCATAGTCGGAGAAACAAAACAAAGAACTCCGAGTGCGTTGACATTGTTCCCTTCATTTCCATTGATGATCAAGAAGGTTACAGACTATGAAAAATTGTGGCCAATTTGTTGATATGGCGATTGAAGTGAAGGAATATGTAGTTCAGTGAATGATACAGAATGCTCGGAGAAAAAAAATTGCGAGTGCTCCCAATGCGAGCCAAACTTACGACCTTCCAGTCAGTGGTCATCTGCTCTACCACAGAGGGCTATAGGAGAATTATGGCGAGCTAAGCCGTTTAATTAGGTCCATGATCTCAAACTTCCCGCTTACTTCAAAGATGGGAATATCGATACGTGATGCTCACGTACAACGATGATGTTAATGAAGATGATAAACTTCAAACCGGGGATTTTTGGAGTGAATGAAGATGTTATTTAGTAGAGACACAAACATACTGAGCTATAGGAGACTCGTTTAATTAGGTGAGTGGAGACAAACTTCCTGCAAATATACTGCGTGGTAGGAATGTTAATATGTGGTGCTTATGTCCATGATAATTTAAAGGAAGAAGATCGATTTCAAGCCTGGTGATTTACGTGAAGGAAGATGTTATTAAGTAAATTACAAGGCATATTTGGGAAAAAAAAAAGAAACTCTGTGTACTAGCAATAGGCAGGGACCCACAACCTTTCAATTAGTACTTCAGACTCTTACCACTGAGCTTTAGAAGACTTATGTCAAACAAAGCCGTGTAACGAGGTCCATTGTGATAAATTGCTGCATACTGCGAGGATAGCAGGCCTGGTGAGTTAGGTTAAGAAAGAAATTATTCAATGAATGACACAGGCGTAATAGGAGAAATGTAACCAATTTCAACAAATTTATGACAAAAGTTATCTTCCAAATCGGCTTTCTAGCTCCCCATTGTGTCAGTGCGACGAAGGCTTTACATTCAACTGGTTCATTCTTTTGTTTTTCACATTACTTCGTTCCCATCAACAGCCTGGTTACATTTTTTCTGTATTTAAATCAAATACAAGCCAAAATTCCTCTCCTCGCTCTGATGAAGGGCTAACACTCAAAACTTCAGCTTTAGAAACTTTTTAGGTAGCCAATCTACTTAGTTGATAAAAATGATGTTGCAATTCGTTTAATTCATTTTTCGTTCGAAACCACCTGCTGCAATAAACTATACCATTTATCCTGTAGCCATTTTTGAACTTCCTTTTTTAAATATTAAAGAAGTATTGTGAGCTGTTGTTACTACGCGACAGGAAATTTATGGCTGAAACATTAGCTGAATACTGATATTACCGAGAGGAATATCGATCGAAACAAGAAAACGTCACTGACTATTTAATTATAATGGACGTTAAAAAATTGACTTCTGAAAAAAAGTTTGAAGTAGGGAGACAATTCTGTTAAAAAACGCCAATGTAAAAACGTGCTTATCAAGGAAATTCAATTTCTGTTATTTGAAAAAATTTGTTATTGAATAATATTCAGTTGATTGTATGACGTATGACATCACAGTTAGTGTGGGTAATGACATGATTGCAACTGCAATTTGATGTTAACAAGCACGAGTAAATTTTTCAAAGACAATAAAATTGTGAGAGCCCGTCGGGCTAATGCAATTTTTGGTCCTTGAAAAATTTACTAGTGCTTACTTACGCAAAGGGAATAGTTTCTTGTTTACGCCAAATTGCGTGAGAGATCATGTTACTTGTTAATAATTTACATTAACAAGTATCCCAGAGAGTAAAGACAGACGAAATTTTGTCAGCGCGCGCGATTTGTAATTTTCACTCTTGTTACATGAAAAATGCACTCGTTTTCAGCCAATCCGACGCACGTAATTTTTTCTGTGTCGGCAGGTTATTACTGATGGACAAGTGAAGTTCTTCACGTCGTTATGGTTTCCTTAGTCCATTTCAGCTGAACAAGTGAACTTCCTCTCGTCCTTATGATTTTCTTAGTCCACTTTAGCCTTTTCTTGCTGATTCTCTATTCAAAGAGTGCTTTGGCCTGTTTAGATGGTAAGTTCTTTGAAGAAGTGTTTTCGCGTAATTTATGATTATGTACTCATATGAGTTTTACCCGTTTTACAATCTGAACTTCCTTTCCGCATCACTTCACCACTAACCAACCAAAACAAAAATTGCTCAGTTTCGGGAAGGAAGCTCTTAACGGTATTTAGTGGATGTAGATTGTTATGTTTTCTTTTAATTTATCCTACGATTTACGATGCATAACAATATTACGCGTATTTTATACACGACATGATTTGAATATCACTGGCATTCTGCAAATTGATACTTAAAACTCTTCCCAGAACCCTTAAAAATTGACTGGGGTCGCAGGCATTTTCTCAAGAAGCATTTCAATATTCCTGTTGAGACATTTTCCGATTTCTTTAACTTTTCTTACGACATCATACCGCGGAGCAGATGGCTCAAACCCTCACCATAAGCTTAGCCTTATCAAACATACGAATTAAGTTATACAAAAAACCCAAAGTTGCTGCGTGGAAGATCGTTTAAGAATTTCACGTTGTTTTTTGTTTGTTTTATTTCTTTTTAACACTCATGTCGGCTGATACGATAAGGCATCTCATCCTTCATCAATCATTAACTTAATACAGGGGGTAAGTTTCTAGTTGCGTCGGTGGGTGAGTGTAGCAGATAATTTAGTGTTAACAACTAGGTTGAAAACGTAAATTGGCCACCGTAAAGAATAAAAAAAGCTGACGTTTGGAGCGTTAGCCCTTCGTCAGGGCATTAACTTAATACGTTCAGTCTGAGTTTTGAAGTACATGCATGTGTATCAAGGCAATGGCATGGTGATGACATTGCTGTGTGTACATACGAATTTTAAGAGTTTACTTGCTTGTTTCATCAATAGAGTCTATTTTACCGGTTAAAGAAAAGCCTTCGATATGAAAATGATTTCTTTCACAATATTGAATGTTTATGTAACAATAATACTAACACTAATTTCTTAACAATACTAATTCCTAACTTGTTTTATATTAACAGTATTCCTTTAGTGAATAATTTTACGTTACACTGCTGCAGGATCTTACGTAGAGATGGGCTGCCAAATTTCAGTAAAAGACGAAATTATAAAAATGACGCCATTTCCAGTACAATCTATTTCTTGTGTTTTCTAAGCAAAGTTAGAGCCAACTGACCTAGGTATAACATGCATCTGCATACAGGGTCACATTGGCGGGAAGGTAAAGAAGAAATAAGTTTCGGCGAAATGTAAACCCGCTGAAACGACCACTTTGTTAGACATGGATTGATGTTACTCTGGTTTAAAGATCTAATGAATGTAACCGAGAAGTTAAAAATCATGGACCTAACGTTTCGACAGTCCTGCCTAGTGCCTTCATCAGGGGTGATCTAATCGTTTGCTCCGACAAAGCTGAATTTTCAAAGAGAAAATTCTACGTTTATCTGTTAATGTTGAAGATGTGCTGTTTTGAAGCGAAAGATTTTCAAAGACTAAAAAAAAATCTTCCAGTGTTCAGTGCAGAGATCTGTTCCCAATCCTTTACTCCAGGGAGTATGTCTGTTTGAACCAACTGGGAAGCGACATTCTAATTTCATTTATTTACCTTTTCTTGTCCTATGGAAAAAAAACTCAAACTTCACCTCGAAACACATAATCTGAAATTATGTTGAAGGTTTATCAAGTATTTCTTCAAGTTATATTACATCCATCCAAAGCACAGTTACAGCACGCATATGCAACGAACTGTGCAATAAGCCTCCTAGCTGAGTTTTGCGGAGAAAAGATTATCCCTAGCTTATACTGGCCTCACGACTGGGTTTTATTTCGATTCTGAATTCTTTTTAGTCATTAATCCTTAATCTTTTATACTTTAGTTCAATTCATGTTCTTTTGTTTCAGTGTCAGAATAATTCCAACTTGATTGGGGTGATGACCACGTTTAAACTTTATACCGGCTTTTTGAGCATTCATTATTTGTGAAATTAACAAAATTGTATGACAGAATTGTCAGAACACCATGAAGGAGTATCGCCCCACTAGAAAAGGAACTGTTTTTTTAGAATTCATTTTAACAAGAAAAATGGTATTAATAACAATAATAGCACGTTTTTTACATCGTCGTAGTTTGAAGAACATGGGTCATATCGCCTATTTGTATAGGTAATCACATGATTTCGAGTGCAGTTTTGAATAAATAAGCGCGAGTAAATTTTTTTAAAGACTAACAAAATTGAACGAGCCCGTAGGGCGAGTGCAATTTGTGGTCTTTGAAAAAATTAACAAGTGCTTATTTATTCCAAATTGCACGAGAAAAATCATATGATTACGTGTTAATAATAAACATGAAAAAATACGAGATAGCTTATCATAATTAAGCATAAGCAAAGCGCGCGCATCAAGTGCAAAAATAATTTATTCAAACCGTGCGTTCGGTCAAAACAACCGCGTACGATCAAAACAATAATATGCAATGATATCTTCACATCTTTAAGGCGCAAAAGAGTTTTAGGTCCGGCTAAATAGTTCAAGTAATTGTTCAGCCTGTGTCCGAATCGCTTTCGATGAAATGGAATCGTCTTATCCAAGGTTTAACCATGTTTGTTTTTAATTTCGGCGTCGGATCGCTCGAGAAGGTGTTAAGCTGGGTCGGTTCGTAATTTTCGATTTCCTTGGCAATTCCCTTCTAAACACCACTTCTTCAAAACCGACGACTAAAAAGCAGTGCTTTTTACGGTGTTTTCGTTGTTTGAGCTGTTTTTCAGACGCGGTGGCGAAAGAAAACCTACTTAAAACGCCGGCCATTGTTTCACTCGAAAATTTTCAAATTTTTATATTTTGTTGCGACATCCAAAGCTCGCATTTGATTGGCTGTCTGTGAGTTTTTTTGAAGAGGCGCGGTGGCCTAATGGTTAGTGCGCTCGACTCCGGATCGAGTGGTTCGGGTTCGAGCCCTGGCCGGGGTCACTGTGTTGTGTTCTTAGGCAAGACACTTTACTCTCACAGTGCTTCTCTTCACCCAGGTGTAAAAATGGGTACCAGCAAATATGCTGGGGGTAACCATCCCATCCAGGGGGGAATAGCAATGCTCCTAGCCGCTTCATGCTAAGGAAACCAAAGCAAAGCGCCGGCCCCATGGGCCACTTGGGCCTGTATAAAGGCTGTGAGTTTCTTTGATTATTGACCAATCAGAATGTCTGATTTGTTACTTTCTTTGCACTGAATTAACCCTCTTCTGCACTGAATTAACTCTCTTCTGCACTGAATTATCTGAAAACTGCATTTATCTTAACCAATCACAACTGAGTAAATTTTTCATGTATATTATTATAGACAGAATTTCTTATTTCACGATCTGAAAGAGCCTGGTAGCATTTACTCAAACCTTCATATAGAAAAGTGTATCATGAAAATCAAGAACATCCACAATCCTTCTCAGATCAGTGTTATGCTTTCAAATGTTTCATCTATTTTAGACCAATGCCGTATCTTAGCATTTCCATCCACTCTGTTCTTCGTGGGAGAACGTCTTGTGGACCACACCATAGCAAACATCAGTGTGATTGACAGGGACACGTGTGAATATAGTTGCTACCTCAACCATAACTGTGTCAGTGTCAACTTTTATTTTGGACCAAGCAAAGCAGGAATAGAAAACTGTGAACTGAACAACTCGACAAGTAAAGAACATGATAAGGATCTGGTGAAGGCAACCAACTATGTGTACCATGGAACAAGAGTGAGGAGACAGTGTCTTTAATTTAATGTCTTTTATTGTTCTTTTTATTGCTTATTATGATTATTGTTATTATTATTTATAACAAAGTTCGGATATAACGCCCGCTGTCATTGATTGAAAGAGCGTGCTCTATGAGAGTATAGAGCATAGAGCTGAGCTACAGCTGTCACGCCATCTGCCAATTGTTCTATGTTCGAGCTTCTCCGGGACTTCTTTTTGGCTTTTTTCCGATAATTGAAAGTGAAATTTCGGAACTGAAGCGAGCCGGCAAGTAGCAACAGAAGAATCAAACAAAGGTTTGTAAACATACCAGGCACCGTAATCTACGTTATTAAAACGTAAGCAGATACGAAAATCCTCAAAGGAAAACAAAATAAACATTCCGAGTTTTAAAGATTTTCACGATCAGTTAGATTGCAAGCTTACGTACGGTAATAAAAATCAAACACAGCGAACACTCGTATAGTATATAAAGTTCAGTGTTCAAAAGCAAAATAGAACAAAACAGAAATGATGAAAAATATAACCAAACTGGCATAATTGTTAAAATTCATACTAATCATGACGGTGTCTGAGCGAATATGATCATGCTGAAGTTCATCGCGGCTCGCTCATCATGGCGATCTCCGGTCATCACAGTAAAGCAAGCCTCAGAAACTACATCGGCCGCCCTTCGAGTAAAAAAATAAGAGCTTGCTCTGATATCCTTTCCGATACGTTGAGTGGCAATTCACATGAGTTACTGCAACCGAGTTTTGCGGCGCTGTCATCACGAGCGATCTTCATGTTCCGGTGAATTCGGCTGTCGTTCATTCAAAAAATACTCGCCTTGAACAGTTTTTTTTCTACCTTGTCATGTGAAAAAACTCGCGTGTTTTTATGAGCCATAATTCGGCTGAAGTTAACTGAACATTTCACTTCAAGATTCTGTATAAACTTCAGGCAAAAGTGTTAAATTCGACTTGCCGAACTATTTTAGTTTGTAAACTATCGTAGAATGTGAACTATGATGGTTTTTGAACTTTGGTGGTTTGACACTTCTGACAGCTTTAGTCTTGTACAGCCAATCAGATTATTCGAACCATTCCAACAAGGATTCTGATTGACATATTGTAGCGTGCTTTATGAGAGTATAGAGCATGCTGACGACATTGTTGTTCGCTTTGGAATGAAGTTTGTTTTGAAAATTGAAAGTAATGCTTGGGTAATTTAACGGATTCTTCATTATAAAACAAATAGAGAACCCTTGACTGTGCTCTGTTCTGTTATAAAGCACTTAGGAAGCGGCTAGAGCACTCAAGAAGTGGGGAGAAATACGAGACTTAGTCGTGCTCTAGCCGCTTCCTGCGTGCTTTATAACCGAACAGAGCACAGTCAAGGCTTCTCTATTTGTTAATTTTAATTATTATTTTTCAGAATGCTTGTAGTCGTTCTCGCTGCCAAAACAACGCCATTTGTCAGTCCGGTTTTACAAGCAAGGGATATCGATGCTTATGTTCTGTTGGATTTGCGGGAGCTTATTGTGAACAAGGTGAGACGTAAAAACGTGTTCGTACCAGTTTTTTGTCTACAACAAAAAATTGCTAGCTATTCATATTCTGGAACCAACCAGTTAAATCGATGTTGAGGGATTGTTTAAGTGTCTAAGGTGCCCACAGCTTCATTTTAATTGTAATCACCACAGTTTCAATTTCTCTGTGCTTTTGGTATTAATTCTTTCTTTTTAGATGTTGACGAGTGTAAAAAGAAAACTCACGGATGTGATGTTAATGCCGAATGCCATAATACCGAGGGATCATTTATTTGTAAATGCAAGGCTGGTTATGTGGGAAATGGTCAAAATTGTGCAAGTAAGGAACTCATCTGTTTTATGATTCCTCACTATACAACGTATTCATAGGGGCGACAGATCTGGGGCGCCAAACGCGAAAACGAGGTATTGTAAGATAAAATGATAAGGGTTCGAGAGGTGTATCTGCCTTTCTATTTGAAATGAAAAATCGTTTGGATAAAATGGATAATTTTCTATTATTTTGATTAGTGCTTCTTTTAATTACGAACAAACTTGTGAAGTGTATCGATACCGGTCCCCACCGCTGAGCATATGTACCAACGTCAACGCTAAGCATAATGTAACATTTATTTTCTCCCGTGGATTACTTTCTGGAGGTCATAAGTGACAGAGGCTTTGCTGCACTTGAGGCCGGCTAGCTGTAATACTTTGAAATGCCTCTGGTTTCTCGTCACGTTGAACCTTTTTTATGATTGGCAAGCTTAGTTTGTGTTGGTTCGGCTTTACTATGTTCGATCGAGAGGCGCTTTGAGATACACAACACGCCTTCATTTAAAAGGAGTTAAGGGATGATTTCATATGCAGAATGGCCTCGAGGTTTTTTTCCGACCCTTGGTTATAAAGACCAAAAACGACTTATGACGCACGAATAAAGAAAAAGCATCCCATGTTGTTAGGTTTCCTGAAGTGTCTGAAAGCACGTTCTCAATTTTTTTTCTGTATCAGAAATTTCTGGCTGTGACCAAGATCCATGCCACAATGAAGGAACCTGTATCCCCCAAAGTAAAGGATACAAATGCACATGTTTACAAGGATTCAATGGTGACCATTGCGAAACAGGTTCGATAAGCAATGTTTTATTCTCACTTGAAAATTAATTAAATAGGCATTAATTATTGTTCCTGTGACATATTCGAGAGTGGTGGTAAGTATATCGACTTAATATACTTATAACCATATAATGTAATGATTCAAAGACAACTGGAGATTTGCCGAAAAATTGATTTTGTAGATATCGACGACTGCGCTAGTAGTCCTTGTTTGAACAAAGGAACCTGCTTTGACGATATCAACAAATACAGATGCAGCTGTGAAATTGGGTTCAGTGGAATAAATTGTGAAATAGGTAGGCTGATTATAGTGTATATACTTGCCATGTTATGAACAAGTCTGTGAGAATCAAACATCTTGGGAAATGAAAATTTTCAACCCCCTTCAAATTTTGCATGCAGTTAGGCACTCAGGGGGGATGCACAAAAATGCCCTTTTTAAAGGTCGCAGCAGTCTTGTTGCCATGGTAACAACGGCTACTTGTTCGAGGCCTAGGGCCTCATTTTCATACAAAAACGTCGCAAAAAAAGAGTGAAATGTTTATTTCTCTATCTCAAGCTAAATACAACATTACTAATTGGCACTTCTACCATACATAGTAACATCATTCGTCTTCACATTGATTTATTCAATTTTCCCTGGGAATGAAGGTGAACATACCAATAGATTATTCATCTCGGTACAGTTTCGGTCATTTTTTTTGTCGGGTAAATCAGGGAAAACGTTTATCTGAATTTCTCCAAAAGTACACCGATTCTGGAACTGAAACTACCCACCTAGCTGGTTATAATATTCTAGTTTTTAAATATGTAAAATCTCTGCGGGCCTGCCTTTTTATAGGGGCAATTCACGGACGACCGGACCGGTGTGAGGATAGTTTCGTGTAGATCAGCCGACTTCAACATGTTTCAAATGACATACAAGTATAACAGTGTATCTTCAGAAGATTTCGAATCGCTCAAATTCCCATGAAAGAAGGTGCAGCACTCGGAATCTTGATGATATGCACACGATTTGAGGTATATGTTTGTAGTTACATCGAGTTGTCCTCCATGAAGGCTGATCAACCTTTTTTAAAAGATGACAACCAGAGACGAGATTTCTCTTCGGGATATTGCTCATAAGATAACATTCTTTCAAAGCCTCGCACGTTTCATTTGTCTGAAACGTTTGTTGTTGAGAACATTAGATGTAAACATCGCCAAATTATGCAATATCTGATTTTGAGCTTTTTTCGCAAATTTCCCCTATAAAAAGTAGAGGCAGGCCTGCAGAGATTTTTACATATTTAAAAACTAGAATATTAAAACCAACTAGGTGGGTAGTTTCAGTTCCAGAATCGGTGTACTTTTGGAGAAATTCAGATAAAAATTTTCCCTATTTTACCCGACAAAAAAAATGACCGAAGCTGTACTGAGATAAATAATCTCTTGGTGTGTTCACATTCATTCCCAGGGAAAATTAAATATATCAAAGTGAGGACCAATGATGTTACTATGTATGGTAGAAGTGCCAATTAGTAATGTTGTATTTAGCTTGAGACAGAGAAATAAACATTTCAGTCTTTTTTGCGACGTTTTTGAATGAAAATGAGGCCCTAGGCCTCGAACAAGCAGCCATTGTTACCATGGCAACAAGAATGCTGCAACCTATAAAAAGGGCATTTTTGTGCATCCCCCCTGAGTGCCTAACTTCATGCAAAATTTGAAGTGGGGTTGAAAATTTTCATTTCCCAAGATGTTTGATTCTTAGAGACTTGTTCTTAAAATCGTAGTGCGTCATAATCAAGTATTGAAACATGGGACAAATTCCAGCTTTCATGACTACATACTAAACGTATTGTGTATTGTGTTATATATCTTCTTCGTATTATAATAGGGCGGTTCTGATACCTTAGCTTTGTAAAACCCGGTATTACATGCCTTAAAGCAAAGAAACACCTGGTTATAAACCTACTGAATTTGTTTCAGATAATGACGAGTGTGCTCAAAATACTCACACATGTAGTTTGACTAGCGGGGTTTGTAAAAACACGCCAGGATCATTTCGATGCAGTTGTAAACCTGGGTTCATCGGAGACGGACACAGTTGTGAAGGTTTGTCAATATGTTACCGGCATTTATCATATAAACTACGGTGTTATAGAAGGATTTCTAGCCTTGAGAAAAGCCGTAAAAGCACACTTAAAAAAATATCGTATTTTTTTACTTGTGTTTGATATCGCCAATCAGCTGCCGACACGTCACTTGCATTTCGCGCCAGTCGGTCAGCTTGATGAAAGAGCGGCGAAGCCTTTTCCGTCTTGCAGACAGTGATGTTCAAACTTTTACTAGAAAGGGAAGAAAACCAAGATACGGAGAAAAAAAACAGAAAAATACGTATTCAGTAGCTTTGGTGGTATAATTTTCTCGCGGCTGAGAACGAAAATCCACAACTGGAAGATTTGCCACAGGCCGATTTTGGCCGTGTATCCGTCAATTTTGTATATTGAAAATTATGCCCATGGTTTGTTTTTGTAGTGTTCCAACGCATTTTTCATGTTGAGCCTTAGCGCCAACGCAATTTACGATTTTAATTTGGAGATTGTCGATCCTTTTATTTTCATTCATTCATTCATTAGTTGACTATTCATTGACAGTAAAGAGCTATTGTGTTTTTATGATAAACAAAATAATACATGGCTGTTTGTAGATATGGCATTCGAAGAGAAATTCCATATCTACCCGCGCCCATGTATTATTCTCTATATAGCACCACATAGCAATTATGAAGTAATGTTTGCTCTGATGAGTGACAGAGTTTGCAGGCTGCAAATTGTATAAAATATAACGATAACGCAAATACAACGATTCAGTTGTAAGGCAACGAGAAAAAAGTGTTTTTAATAATGCTCATAAAACGCAGAGAGTAGATCTAAAATTTGAACACTTTTATGTACTAGTTTTTACTAAAGGGACCGACGTGATGAAAATGTAGCTTTCTCGTGCTTGGAACATAATTTTTCCGATGGTGTCGTGGTGTCGCAAAGTAGCCAGAGTGTGGATCAACCACTGATTCTTTCTCTACGTAGAGAGACATATAGTATAAACCATCCGTGTTTTTCATTCTACTGTTGCAGGATACATAAAAAATTCAGTTATATTGTCGAAAAATGAATCTTACTTCGCATATCTTCGTGAGTTCCTGATTCCTGCCGTTGGATATGATTCTGACTGGTTGCTTTGCTACCGAGCCTCTTCACATGGCTGGGCAGGCGATGCCTTCCACACTCGTTGCGATGGAAAGAAAGATATGATAACAATTATTCAGAAAGACCAGTATGTTTTTGGTGGGTACACTGACATTCCCTGGGGTAAGAAACTGTATCCACTTTAAACATAATAATGACCATCTTACCCGCATGTAGTCTGCCTATCGATGTCACATCTGTCAAACATAAAAAAAGTAAAAAATCTCTTGGCGATAGTCGAAATTATTCTCAACTGATCTAGTATCTTCACTCCTCTTCTCCGCTCTACGTCAGTCAATGTATGCGAACAACACTTAGCAAACGTGCCCTCTCATTTTTGGATAACAAGATTAAAAGTTCCAATGTCAAATGTACATGTGGGAAATCCATGGAGACTACTTAATGCGTGAATTCAGACTTTAAAAGAATATCGATATTATCTAAGACGTTTTTTCAATCAGCCACTACCTACCAGTTCATGACTGCACTCATGTTGCAGCTCCTTGAATCAATCTTTGGATATCTTACATCAACCTTCTCCGACAGATTTGTAACCAGGTTTTATATCCAATGTTATAGATGGAAATCACGAAAAGGACTCACGCATACGTAACCGTTAGAAAGTAATAGTGCCCTCACTAGTTCATGTGCAGATATGTAATGTGAAATCAGTAATACAACCCTTAACTTCAAAACATGGTGCAAGTAGATTATGCCCTTTCTATCTTGAAGATTTCGTGAATAATATTAAAAACCGATTATCCGAAAAAAATGCTATTAATGATGCATTGAATTAAAATATTTTGTATGCAGCTTGTCCTCCGAGAGCAAGAACAGAAGACCCGTCAGGCCGCTGTTGTGTATTTCCTTTCAAGTATAGGAACCATACCTACAACTACTGTACAAAGAGGGGCTCTGTTCTTGGAAGGTGGTGGTGCTCATTCGATGCTGTCTTCAAACATGACTGGAATTATTGTGGTAAGAATAATATAATTTTCATGATACATACATATCAGTATTTTTCTCTTTCGCTTTTTTCAGTCTTAATAACTTCAAGTCGAAAAATATGCTTCAAATAAGTCATTACATAATTTTCTTTAACTGCGGCTGTATGTTGCTAGCTTTTATAGAATAAGTAATCTCGTTAAAAATTTTTTTATGCAAGAATTGCAATTTTTTTTATTGTCTTGGCCTGTAGATAATGATCCGTACAAAGGATACCGTAAGACAGACAAGGCTTTTATTTTTTCGCTGGAAAATAAAGAAGGATTGGCGCCGTTTAAGAGTATGGTGAAGCAAGATTCCCGAGCCATTTATATGAAGATAAGTTACGGTCCAACATTTGGTGGAGGCTTCGATATTTATATCGCTAACAACGCAGGTCATAATGCTCATTCGTACACCAACTTTGGTCACTCTTTCTTGGCTCCAAGAGAAGTAAAGGAAAAGGATAGAGTGTTAGCTGGAGCTAGCCATTTTACTCCTGACGAGGTAGAAGTGTTCTATCTCTCTTAGAGCTGGAATTACAATAGCAAGTCTATTTCTGTTTCTAAGCCATGTAATTCTACCTCACATTGTCTCTATCCGCTGAGTATTATTATTTTTTGTAACAGCAACTGTAAGGCGAAATGCTGGGCGGTAAGTAGCGATGGATTAACATCCCGTCCAGGAAAAGGGTGTCTGTGTGTGATATGCAAAGGTATACATGCTGCATTTGCCGTAACCAGGATAAACTCTAAGGTTATGGGCCACTCAGGCTCGACTCATGCGCAGACTTTTGATTATGTCTAATTAGGATTGAAGATTCTCTGCTTTGTTGTTAATATTATTATTACTGCATGCCTTAAAGTGAAATCGGTGGTTTGAACTTTTAGGTAAGTTTTTATGTCTAAACAAAACTAAGTAATCCAAAACCGTTTTACAGGAGTGAAGAACAGCTTTAACAAATCTTACGGAATAATTGGCAGGGTATTGTAATTTATTTTAGAAGCGTAAAAACCACGACACGTCACATAATCATTTTGGAATCTTAATATCTACACGTTGAATAAAGTCGGGTACAATTAGAAATCCTCGCGAGATACTTTCCCGTGAAAGCAATTATGTAATCGTTATCCCTCACTCTTATGACAGCAAAGGCGAAGTTTTCGTCTTTTCTTGGAAATTTTTTCTGTTTTTGTTAATTTCTTTATAGGTTTTACATTAACAAAAATGCCAATTATTCTCCGGATATTTGCTCCTAGCTCAACACAGTTATAAGATCTGTTATAACCAGCAAAATGAGACATGGACTCCAAAATAGCGCTTCTATGGTGGTCACTGAACGTAGCTTATGAAACTATGAACGTAGCGCTATATTGCCCCCTCATTTGTTTAGGTTAATCATAATTTGGCCTTTCTAGTTATATTTTGTACATTAAGATTTATTGTGCGGTTCTACTTGAACAAGATATAATGCATGTTAACTATCTCGAGCCATTTTGTTAAACGATAAAAATAGAAATATATTAACCTAAAAACATTGTAAGGGTTTCCTATAATGGTGTTTGAAAATGAATAGAAATAACATATTTGCATAAGCCATTCAGTAAACATTGTAATAAGCCAGTTGATCATTTCTTATTCCTTTCGGCGGTCTTAACTTACAGATAGAGTTTGGTCATCTTTTCCTTACTGTGGTCGTGAAATTGACATGGAGACAGATATTTTTGCGTAGCTCTTTTAGGGGCGGTACCTTGGCTACGCCCTTTCTTCTCCGAATTTTGTACTTATTCTGCATTTATGCAACAGCCTTCAAGGACAATTTTCTTTTAGGATACCTTTTCAAATAAGATTTTAATTCTGTTACTAGGTTTATTGTGATTTTTGTATTGTCAATCTTGTTTTTGTTTTGCCTAAACTTGACTGTAAGACCAAGACATTTGAGTTAGAAACACATTTCGTAAAGCGTAAACATCGCGAAGGTATCTACTTAGTATGCGAACTCCGTTCTGCGTAGCCCGACGTGATTCGCTATTTAAGTATAAAAGTATGACGAAGGTTAGAGATTGACAGCTCCATAAGTGTCACCTTTATAAGCGGTGACCCTCACTTTCCTCGAGAGATCAGAGCTAGTCCCCGTTGTAACAACTCGTGTAGAAGAGAGAACAAAGAAAGAGACAACAAGACAACGAGTGTTAGGGTAATTTTTACTCTTGAAAATTTTCGCAATAAAATTGGCCACTTATATCAATAAAAACTTTAAGGACCCCAAACTTCTGAAGGGTAAAATCGACTTAAACAACGCGATTATAAAATAAAAACACTGACACTTACTAAAAGACTTCATGTTGAACAAAGACCTAACTAGCTAATTTTAACAGAAATCGAAACTCTGTTGAATCTGTTGATATTGTGTGACTCTCGCAACTGCAGAGGGAAAAGCCTGCCTCTATATCCAAGGGAAAAGCTCGCCTCTATATCCAAGGGAAAAGCGATTAAACTTTTATTTATCAATACTAAGTGCGTGAAAACCTTTTTAAATTGTCTCATTTTATTGCAATTCATAGTGTAATTATTTTAACATTTAATGTTAGTCCTCACTTAGTGGACAGGGAGGAATGTGTAATTATACAGTGCAAACAAAGTATACTAAAGGACTAGCAGTTAAGAACACACAATTCTACATTGATTTTGTATATCGGAAAAATACTTTTTTTCCAATCGCGGTACTTTTACCCATTCGCATTGTTGTGAAATTTTTCCACCCAAAAATTGATTCCTAGATTTATTGTGAATTTTATTGTGTATCAAGTGAGTTGTAATTTCGTTAACGTTAAAGCACCGAGTCAACGTTAAGATTAGAAGTAACATGTAACCGGGAGCGGAATAGGGTGATCAATTTAGTTCAGCGAACAGTGATGTATGAAATTAGGTATTTGCAGGGCGTTTAAGCGCGTAGGAACTTAACAGCATGATTGTCAAGTAAAACCATGTTTAATAGGGAATTAGTGCCTACGGATCGTTGTAGAACGTGAGTGAATCTTGAATCCCACGCGGAATTACTTATCTGGGTGTGGATTTCCTAAGCTAATAAATGTAACATTTTTGTAACCATAAGATTAGATTGAAATAGAGTGGATAGATCGCAGAATGGAACGTGTAATGCTGAATTGTCGTCAGTAATGCCTGAATCAAGAGAAAGTATACAGTCCAAGATTACTGAACCAGCGTGTGCGGAATTCTCAGCAACGCAAGTGGGAAATTCTGCGAAACGCATGTCATAACCTGGGAAAGGTTGAAGCGAGCTCTTATTATAATTTACGTTTTGTACTCAAAATGTGGTCAGTAACAGCATCTGCTCTCTGTTACGTATTTTATCGTACACAAAGTATCCGTCGTGCTGTATGGAAGGAATAAGAACTTCGCGGATCTCCATATGCTGTTTATTTTGCCGGTTTAAAATGTGCATAAACCGTATTAATAAACAACTAAAGTGCGTAGTCCGGTAAATGTTTCATCAAGCACGATAGTTTGAATGACATCACCAGGAAGATAGAAAACATCTCTCTTTTTAATTACTGAGTATGAGAGAATCAACTGTGATGAAAAAAACCCAAAGAAATGTAATTTGCAAACCATTTTGCACCTCAATTTTAACGCGTTTTCAGGAAGGTTATGATGTACAGCTTGTACGATAAATTAATATAAAAAGAACCCATGCACGTTTCAAGAAATAAATTCAAACTAAGAAGTGTGTAAAAATGAATTTTCTTCATTTTGTATGCGGGTGAATGTCCAATGCATTCTTATGAGTTTGCGTGTCCTGACCTTAAACATGAATTGTATTGGGGTTTTCATTCTGCTCTTAAGTTCAATTCAAATCATTTGCATTTTGCGTGTTTGACGCCAGTCATCATCAGTATTTTCTGGACGACTTCCTCGATCGAGGTCGGATGAAAATTCAGAGTAAAATTGCATAGAAAGGTCCTAGAAGGTCGAAAATAAGTAAAACAAACTGTTACGGCTGATGGCTTCTTATTTTGATCAGTTGCTTTAAAACAGAAAATAGAATGAAGTAGATTGAGGTTTCAATTAGCCTGCTATAAATTTATCAGGCACCTGCTGTTCAAATGGAAGTGACGTTACGTTAGTGAAGCTGTTTCACACAGAACAGCCATAAAGACGCCTAAGTGTTATAGAATGCGGATAGGTGATGTGTGGAGAGAAAATGCAAAGGAGGGTTTGACATTCATTGAGGGTGAAAATTATTTCGTTAACGATGTCTTTTTACCAAACGGTAGGATATCTTAGATTAGACACTGACTTAAAAACTTAAAAACCAACCCTTCTGTTTCGAGCCTATGTGAAATTTTGAAAATTTTTTAACTCAGAAAATACAAAATATGTGAACTAAATAACCGCACTAAGGAAGCAAGACCACGGAATTACCTTTCAGCCCTTTTATGGTTTTATATCCGAAGAGGTAAGAATCTGTTTTTCTATCTGATCTGAATTTCTTTAAGAATACAGTAGACCTTCGCGGGTGTCGTTCGCATAAAAGAAATTGCGCCATTTGAAACATAACTACCATATAATAAATATCAGTGGATGGATCAGTATTTTTCTTTCTGCTCATTGGCCGTTGTAAGTACTTGCCACACTAAATCGAAAAGCGCTCGGTCAAGTTCAACGTGTAAACTAAAATGTTATGATTTAAAATACTTACTCCATTCGTCTGGATCATCGTTTCAGGGAGGAAATTAACCGAGCCTATAGAAGGTTGGCCATCTTAATACACTCAGACAGAAGCTTGACGCCAGGAACCGTGGAGGCATCAAAGCGTTGGTGAATGCCCGTGCTGCTCTGCTACAGTCTCACAGATAACACTGAACAAGAGATAGGCGATGGTGTCGATGATGTCGTCGGCTTTTTTCAATGACATCATCGATGACGTCGCCGATGAAACTTTCACGTCTTCTCTGTGCACTATGATGTTACCAGTCTATTCTTCTTAAACCTTTCACTCCCAAGATCTTATTAGTAATCTTCCTTACTGTCTGTCATCCGATTCATACGATGTTAATTGGGAGAATAAGGTATTGGATCAACTAATGATCCCCTAATTAGCATTTTTCTTTATTCTCATTACTCGTCTGATATAGAATTGATATTTTAGGGAGAAATTCTGTCTTGGTCACTCTTAGCAGTTAATGGGTAAAAGCCCCTCAAACCGAGTAAGCTTTGATAAAGGACTGATGGCAAAGCTTTATTAAAAAGTGGAAAATATTGCCGTGACAATGACCCTATGAATACTTTTACTGCTCCTTTCATGCAAGACTTCTTTGTTCTCATCTTGTTCGGCGTTAGGCTTGAAATAAATAACATTTCGGCTTTAAAGACAACTGGATTAATCATATAGAGGACAGGATTAACTAATTTAAACAAGAAATTTTGTTTCAATCCGTGTTAATATTATTGTGAAAAACAATTTAACAAACTGACTTTAATATGTGGTCTTAATTTTTCTTTCCTATTGTACGGTGTTAAGGCAAAGATCAATTTGTAAATCAATTAAAAAAACAAACAAAAAAAGGAAACAAGAAACATTTATCTTCAACGTCCCCCAATTTGTATAGATTAAAGGTGGCTTGAAATAGTTTTTCGAGACATCTACTGACTAAATTCGAAGTGCTAAAAAAAAACATCCTCGCTAGATTTTCTCACAGCTTCACGAACATCTTTTTTTAAGATAATGCCTTGTTGTTGAGTGAATTTCCACAAACTTAAGTCATATTCCCTAATTTCCAAACCTCACGTCTTCAAAGATGAAATCATTCGTTTAAATTCAATTCAAGATGAGCGAGTTTTTAGCTGTTGTTTGTTTAAAGGAAGATGTTATTCAATGAGTGACGCAGGCATATCGGAGAACCAAAGAAAAAAAAACTCTGATTGCATTGAGATTGTTCACTTCATTTCTATTGATGATCAAGAAGGTTACAGACTATGAAAAATTGTGGCCGATTTGTTGATATGATGATTGAAGTGAAAGAATATGTAGTTCAGTGAATGATATAGAATGCTCGGAGAAAAAAAATTGCGAGTGCTCCCAATGTGAGCCAAACCTACGACCTTCCAGTCACTACTCATCCGCTTTACCACAGAGGGCTCTAGGAGACTCATGGCGAGCTAAGCCGTTTAATTAGGTCTGTGGTCTCAAACTTCCCGCTTACTGCAAAGATAGGAATATCGATATGTGATGCTTACGTACAATGATGATATAAATGAAGATGATAAACTTCAAACCGGGGATTTTTTGAGTGAATGAAGATGTTATTTGGTAAAGACACAAACATACTCTGAGAAAAAAAGCTCTGAGTGCTTCTAGGAGTCGATCTCTCGACCTTCAGATTACTTCTTCGAATGCTCCACCACTGAGCTATAGGAGACTCGTTTAATTAGGTCAGTAGAGACAAACTTCCTGCTTACGTCAATGATAATTTAAAGGAAGAAGATAGATTTCAAGCCTGGTGATTCACGTGAAGGAAGATGTTATTACAAAGGCATATTTGAATAAAAAAAAGAAATTCCGTGTGCTAGCAATAGGTAGGAACCCACAACCTTCCGATCAGTACTTCAGACTCTCACCATTGTGATAAATTGCTGCATACTGCGAGGATAGCAGGCCTGGCGAGTTAGGTCAAGAAAGATATTATTCTATGAATGACAAAGCCGTACTAGGAGAAATGTAACCAATTTGAACAAATTTAGAACGAAATTTATCTTTCAAATCGACTTTCTTGCTCCCCACTGTGTCAATGCAATGAAGGCTTTACATTCAACTGGTTCATTCGTTTGTTTTTCACATTACTTCGTTCCCATCAACAGCCTGGTTATATTTTTCCTGTATTTAAACCAAATACAAGCCAAAATTCCTCTCCTCGCTCTGATGAAGGGCTAACACTCAAAACTTCAACTTTAGAAAATCTTTAGGTAGCCAATCTACTTAGTTGATAAAAATAAATTATATTGCAATTCACCACAAGACCAAGATTGTCAATTGCGGACGTATGTAGAAATCTTCGATCTGGTATTCAGTGCAGAAATCCGTTCCCAATCCTTTTTACTCCAGGGAGTATGTCGCAAGTTTGATCCAATTGGACGGCGACATTCTAATGTCATTTATTTACCTTTTCTTGTCCTATGGAAAAAAGAACTCGAACTTTACCTCGCAACACATTACCCGAAATTATGTTGACGGTTTATCAAGTATTTCTTCAAGTTATATTACATCCAGTCAAAGCACAGTTGCAGCATGCATATGCAACGAGCTGTGCATTAAGCTTCCTAGCTGAGTTTTGCGGAAAAGAGATCATCCCTAGCTTATACTGGCCACACGACTGGGCTTTATTTCGATTCTGAATTCTTTTTAGTCATTAATCCTTAGTTCAATTCATGTTCTTTTGTTTCAGTGTCAGAATAACTTCAACTAGGGGTGATAACCACGTTTAAACTTTATACCGGCTTTTTGAACATTCTTTATTTGTGAAATTTACATAATGACCAAATTGTATGACAGTATGACAGTATGACAGAATGGTCAAAACGCCATGAAGGAGTATCGCCCTACTAGAAAAGGAACTGTTTTTCTTAGATTCATATTAACAAGAAAAATGATATTAATAACAATAATAACACGTTTTTTACATCGTCATTGTTTGAAGAACATGGATCATATCGCCTATTTGTATGGGCAATCACATGATTTCGAGTGCAATTTGGAATAAATAAGCACGAGTAAATTTTTTTGAAGACTAACAAAATTGTACGAGCCCGTAGGGCGAGTGCAATTTGTAGACTTTGAAAAAATTAACAAGTGCTTATTTATTCCAAATTTCACGAGAAAAATCATGTGGTTATGTGTTAATAATAAACATGAAAAAATACGAGATAGCTTTTCATAATTAAGCATGAGCAAAGCGCGCGCATCAAGTGCAAAAATAATTTATTCAAACCGTGCGTTCGGTCACTGACAACCGCGTACGATCAAAACAATAATATGCAATGATATCTTCACATCTTTAAGACGCAAAAAAGCTCAAAGTCCGGCTAAACAGTTCAAGGAATTGTTCAGTCTGTGTCCGAATCACTTTCGATAAAATGGAATCGTCGTTTCCGAGGTTTAACCATGTTTGTTTTTTATTTCGGCGTTGGATCGCTCGAGCAAAGTGTTAAGCTGGGTCGGTTCATAATTTTCGATTTCCTTGGCAATTCCCTACTCTAAACACCACTTTTTCCAAACTGACAACCAAAAAGCAGTGCTTTTGACAGTGTTTTCGTTGTTTAGCTGTTTTTCAGCCGCGGTGGCGAAAGAAAACCTACCTAAAACGCCGGCCATTGTTTCGCTTCGCAAATTTTCAAATTTTGTTGCGACATCCAAGGCTCGCATTTGATTGACTGTCTGTGAGTTTCTTTGATTATTGACCGATCAGAATGTCTGATTTGTTACTTTCTTTGCACTGAATTAACCCTCTACTGCACTGAATTAACTCTCTTCTGCACTGAATTACCAGCAAACTGCATTTATCTTAACCAATCAGAACTGAGAAAGTTTTTCATGTATATTATTATAGACAGAATTTCTTATTTCATGATCTGAAAGTGCCTGGTAACATATACTCAAACGTTCCTATAAAAAAGTGTTTCATGAAAATCAAGAACATCCACAATCCTTCTCAGATCAGTGTTATGCTTTCAAATGTTTCATCTACTTTAGATCAATGCCGTATCTTAGCATTTCCATCCACTCTGTTCTTCGTGGGAGAACGTCTTGTGGACCACACCATAGCAAACATCAGTGTGATTGACAGGGACACGTGTGAATATAGTTGCTACCTCAACCATAACTGTGTCGGTGTCAACTTTTATTTTGGACCAAGTGAAGCAGGAATACAAAACTGTGAACTAAAAAACTCGACAAGTAAAGAACATGATAAGGATCTGGTGAAGGCAACGAAATATGTGTACCATGGAACAAGAGTAAGGAGACAAAGACTTTAATTTAACGTCTTTTATTGTTTTTTTTATTGTTTATTATTATTATTATTATTTTTTTTGAATTATTATTTTTCAGAATGCTTGTAGTCGTTCTCGCTGCAATAACAACGCCATTTGTCAGTCCGGTTTTACAAGGAAGGGATATCGATGCTTATGTTCTGTTAGATTTGCGGAAGCTCATTGTGAACAAGGTGGGACGTAAAAACGTGTTCGTACCAGTTTTTTGTCTACAACAAAAATTGTTAGCCATTCATATTCTTGATCCAACCAGTTAAATCGATGTTGCGGGATTGTTTCAGTGTATAACGTACCCACAGCTTCATTTTAATTGTGATCACCACAGTTTGAATTTCTCTGTGCTTTTGGTATTAATTCTCTCTTTTTAGATGTTGACGAGTGTAAAAAGAAAACTCACGGATGTAATGTGAATGCCGAATGCCATAATACCGTGAGATCATCTATTTGTAAATGCAAGGCTGGTTATGTGGGAAATGGTCAAAATTGTGCAAGTAAGGAACTCATCTGTTTTATGATTCCTCACTATACAACGTATTCATAGGGGCGACAGATCTGGGGCGCCAAACGCGAAAACGAGGTATTGTAAGATAAAATGACAAGGGTTTGAGAGGTGTATCTACCTTTCTATTTGAAATGAAAAATCGTTTGGATAATATGGATAATTTTCTATTATTTTGATTAGTGCTTCTTTTAATTACGAACAAACTTGTGAAGTGTATCGATACCGGTCCCCACCGCTGAGCATATGTACCAACGTCAACGCTAAGCATAAAGTAACATTTATTTTCTCCTGTGGATTACTTTCTGGAGGTCATAAGTAACAGAGGCTTTCCTGCACTTGAGGCGCCTAGCTGTTATACTTTGAAATTCGTCTGGTTTCTCGTCACGTTAAATCTTTTTTTCTGATTGGCAAGCTTATTTTGTGTTGGTTCGGCTTTACTATGTTCGATCGAGAGGCGCTTTGTGATACACGACACGCCTTCATTTAAAAGGAGTTAAGGGATGATTTCATATGGACAAAGACCTCGAGATTATTTTCCGACCCTTGTATTTGTCACAGTTATGCACATCAAAAACGACTCATGATGCACGAATAAAGAAAAAGCAACCCATTTTGTTAGGTTTCCTGAAGTGCCTGAAAGCACGTTCTCAATTTTTATATGTATCAGAAATTTCTGGCTGTGGCCAAAGTCCATGCCACAATGAAGGAACCTGTATCCCCCAAGGTGAAGGATACAAATGCACATGTTTACAAGGATTCACTGGTGATCATTGCGAAACAGGTTCGATAAGCCATGTTTTATTCTCACTTGAAAATTAATTAAATAGGCATTAATTATTGTTCCTGTGACATATTCGATAGTGATGGTAAGTAGATCGACTTTATTTAAAGATATCACCACAGATGTCAACTGGGATTTGCTAAATTCTTTGATTTAAAATCATTTTCCGAAATTATGGAGTTAAGTTTTGTATAGATTAAAACTAACCCTCTTGCTGAAAAACAGTTTTACAAATGGGCCTTGCAAAATTTTCTGAGCTAACCAGCAAGATTTACCGATGGAAAACTTATTGTATGCGAAGAAACGAGCATTTTATACATATATCAAGAATGATATTTTCTTAGTAAAGTATAGTTTAAATCTTGAAAAGTCTATCCTTATAACCATATAGCGTAATGATTCAAAGAAAACTAGAGATTTGCTGAAAAATTGATTTTGTTGATATCGACGACTGTGCTAGTAGTCCTTGTTTAAACAAAGGAACCTGCTTTGACGATATCAACAAATACAGATGCAGCTGTGTAATTGGGTTCAGTGGAATAAATTGTGAAATAGGTAGGCTGATTATTTTGTATATATTTAGCATGTTACAATGGTAGTGCGTCTTTATAAAGTAATAAAACATGGTGACAAATTCCAGCTTTCATGATTACATACTAAACGTATCATGCAAAATCTGTGTTATATATCCTCTTCGTATTGTAATAGGGCGGTTCTGGTACCTTAGCTTTGTAAAACCCGGTATTACATGCCTTAAAGCAAAGAAACACCTGGTTATAAAACTACTGAATTTTGTTTCAGATAATGACGAGTGTGCTCAAAATACTCACACATGTAGTTTTACTAGCGGGGTTTGTAAAAACACGCCGGGATCATTTCGATGCAGTTGTAAACCTGGGTTCATCGGAGACGGACACAATTGTGACGGTTTGTCAATATGTTACCGGCATTAATCATATAAACTATGGTGTTAAAGAAGAATTTCTAGCCTTTAGAAAAGCCGTAAAAGCACACGTAAAAAATATCGTATTTTTTCACGTGTGTTTGATATCGCCAATCAGCTGCTGACACGTCACTCGCATTTCGCGCCAGTCGGTCAAGTTGATGAAAAAACGGCGAAGCCTTCACCATCTTGCAGACAGCGACGTTCAAACTTTCCTAGATAGGGAAGAAAACCAAAATACGGAAAGAAAAACCGAAAAAAAAATATTTTGTGGCTTTGTTAATGGAATCTTTCTCGCGGCTGAGAACGAAAATCCACAACTGGAAGATTTGCCACGGGCCGTTTCTGGCCGTGTATCCGAGAATTTTGTATATTGAAAATTATGCCCAAGGTTTGTTTTTGTAGTGTTCCAACGCATTTTTCATGTTTAGCCTTAGCGCCAACGCACTTTACGATTTTAATTTGGAGATTGTCGATCCTTTTATTTTCATCCATTAATAAAGTTGACTATTCTTTGTCAGTAAAGAGCTATTGTGTTTAAATGATAAACATAGTAATACATGGCTGTTTGTAGATATGGAAATTTTCTTCGAATGTTCACTCGTGAGTTATCGAGTTGAACATTCGAAGAGAAATTCTATATCTACCCGCGCCCAAGTATTATTCTCCATGTAGCACTATATAACAATTATGAAGTAATGTTTGCTCTGATGAGTGACGGAGTTTGCAGTCTGCAAATTGCATAAAAGATAACGATAACGAAAATGTAACGATTCAGTTATAAGGCAATGAGCAAAAAATCTTTAATACTGCTCATAAAACGCAAAGAAGACGAGTTTGATGAAAGTGTAGCTTTCTCGTGCTTGGAACATAATTTTTCCGATGGTGTCGTTGCGTTGCAAAGAAGCCAGAGTGTGGATCAACCATTGATTCTTTCTCTAGGTAGAGAGACATAGAGTATGAGCCATTCGTGTTTTTCATTTCTACTGTTGCAGGATACGTAAAAAATTCAGTTGTATTGTCGAAAAATGAATCTTACTTCGCATATCTTCGTGAGTTCCTAGTTCCTGCTGTTGGAAATGATCCCCATTGGTTGCTCTGCTACTGCGCCTCTTTACATGGCTGGGCTGGCGATGCCTTCCACACTCGTTGCGACGGAAAGAAAGATATGGTAACAATTATACTGACATTCCAGAAACCGTATCCGCTCTAAATATAATAATGACCATCTTACCCGCATGTAGTTTGCCTATCGATGTCACATCTGTCAAACATAAGAAAAGCAAGTCTCTCTTGGCGATAGTCGAAATGATTCCCCACTGATCTACTATCTTCACTCCTCTTCTCCGCTCTACGCCAGTCAATGTAAGCGAACAACACTTAGAAAACGTGCCCTCTCATTTCGGAAAACAAGATTAAGAGTTCCAGTGTCAAACACACCTGGAAAATCCATGGAGGCTACTTAATGTGCGAAACCAGACTTTAAAAGAATATCTAAGACGTTTTGTCAATCAGTTACTACCTACCAGTTCATGACTGCACCCATGTTGCAGTTCCTTGAATAAATCTTTAGATATGTTACCTCGACCTTCTCTGGAAGTTTTGTAACCAGTTTTTACAACCAGTATTATAGATGGAAATCACGAAAAGGACTCACCGTTAGAAAGTAATAGTGCCCTCACTAGTTCACGTGCAAATATGTAATCAAAAATCAGCACTTTAACCTTAACTTCAAAACTTGGTGCAAGTAGATTATTCCCTTGCTATCTAGAAGATTTCTTAAATAATTTTAAAAACCGATTATGCGAAAAAAATGCTATTAATAATGCATTGAATTAAAATGTTTCCTCAACAGCTTGTCCTCCGGGAGCAAGAACAGAGGACACGTCAGGTCGCTGCTGTATATTCCCTTTCAAGTATGGGAGACATACCTACAACTCCTGTAAAAGGAGCTACTCTCGTCCCGGAAGGTGGTGGTGCTCATTCGATGCTGTCTACAAAGATGATTGGGATTATTGTGGTAAGAATAAATGTAATTTTTCATGAGATATACATACCAGTATTTTCCTCAAAAAATATGCTTCAAATAAGTGATTACATAATTATCCTCAACTCCAGCTACATGTTGCCAGCTTTTATAGAATAAGTAAGCAAGGTAAAAACTTTTCAATGAAAGAATTGCAATTCTTTCTTATTGTCTTGGCCTGTAGATGATGATCCGTGTAGAGGATACCGTAAGACCAACAAGGCTTTTATCTTTTCGCTGGAAAACAAAGAAAGATTGGCGCCGTTTAAGAGTATGGTGAAGCATGACTCCCAAGCCATTTATATGGAGATAAGCAATGGTTTAACATTTGGCGGTGGCCACGATATTTATATCGGTGACACCGCAGCTCATAATGCTCATTCGTACACCGAATTTGGTCACTCTTTCTTGGCTCCAAGTGAAGTAGAGGAAAAGGATACAGTTTTAGCTGGAACTCACCATTTTACTCCCGATGAGGTAGAAGTGTTCTATCTCCCTTAGAGCTGGAATTACAATAGCATGTCTATTTCTGTTCCTAAGCCTGGTATTTAAAATTACATTGTCTCTGCCCACTGAGGAATGTTAATCTTTTTTGTAACAGCAACTGCAAGGCGAAATGCTGGGCGATAAGTAGCGATGGATTAACATCCCGTCTAGGAAAAGGGTGTCTGCATGTGATATGCAAGGGGTGTACATGCTGTAGTTGCCAACCAGGATAAACTCTAAGATTATGGGCCACTCAGGGTCGACTTATGCACAGACTTTTGGTTATGTCTAGCGGGCACTACGATTAGAGTTATATTTAAAGATTCTCTGCTTTGTTGTTAATATTATTATCACTGCACGCCTTAAAGTGAGACCTGTGGTTTTAACTTTTAATTAAGTTTTTATTTCTAATCAAAACTAAGTATTCCAAAAACATTTTAACAGGGGTAGAGAACAACTTTAGCAAATCTTACGGAATAATTGGCAGGGTATTATAATTTATTTTAGAGGCGTAAAACCACGACACGTCATATAATCATTTTAGAATCTTAATATTTAAACGTTGAACAAAGTCAAATATCAATTAGAAATCTTCGCGAGATACTTTCTCGGGAAAGCAATTATGTGGTCGTTACGACAGCAGGGGCGAAGTTTTCGTCTTTTCTTGGAAATTTTTGCTGTTTTCGTTAATTTCTTAATAGGTTTTATATTACCAAAAATGCCAATTATTCTCGGGATATTTGCTTCTAGCTCAACACGGTTATCAGATGTGTTATAACCAGCAAAATGAGACGCCAAAATAGCGCTTCAGAGGTGGTCATGAACGGTGTGCAATGCTCACTATTGTGATAATAAGGAAATGAAACAATGAACGTAGCGCTATATTGCCCTCGCAATTGTTTTGGTTAATCATAATTTGGCCTTCCTAGATACATTTTACGCATTAAGATTTATTGTGTGGTTCTACTTGAGCAAGATATAATGCATGTTAACGATCTCGAGCCTCGTAATAAAATTGGCAACATATATCAGTAACAAATTTAGGGACCCCTAACTTCTGACGAGTAAAATCGACTTAAACAACGCGATTATAGAACAAAGACACTAACACCTACTAAAAGACTTCATGTTTAACAAAGACCTAACAATATGGCCAAAAATGGTTTAAATTAAAAGCTTTTTTAACTCAATCGAAACTCTGTTGAATCTGTTGATATTGTGTGACTCTCGCAACTGCAGAGGGAAAAGCCTGCCTCTATATCATAGGGAAAAGCCTGCCTCTATATCATAGGGAAAAGCCTGCCTCTATATCATAGGGAAAAGCCTGCCTCTATATCATAGGGAAAAGCCTGCCTCTATATCATAGGGAAAAGCCTGCCTCTATATCGTAGGGAAAAGCCTGCCTCTATATCATAGGGAAAAGCCTGCCTCTATATCGTAGGGAAAAGCCTGCCTCTATATCATAGGGAAAAGCCTGCCTCTATATCATAGGGAAAAGCCTGCCTCTATATCATAGGGAAAAGCCTGCCTCTATATCATAGGGAAAAGCCTGCCTCTATATCATAGGGAAAAGCCTGCCTCTATATCATAGGGAAAAGCCTGCCTCTATATCATAGGGAAAAGCCTGCCTCTATATCGTAGGGAAAAGCCTGCCTCTATATCATAGGGAAAAGCCTGCCTCTATATCATAGGGAAAAGCCTGCCTCTACATCCTAGGGAAAAGCGATTAAACTTTTATTTATCAATACTAGGTGCGTTAAAACCTTTTTAAAGTATTATTTTATGACAATTCATAGTGTAATTATTTTAACTTTCAATTTTAATCCTTACTTAGAGGACAGGGAGGTAAGTGTAATTATACAGTGCAAACAAAATTTATCAAAGTACTAGCAGTTAAGGATATACAATTCTTCATTGACTTTGTACATTGAACTGACAATAATAGTTTTTTTTCAATTGCGGTACTTTTACCCATTCGCATGTCATAACCTGCGAAAGGTGGAAGCAAGCCCTTATTGTCTACGTTTTATGCTCAAAATATGGTCAGTAGCAGCATCTGTTATCTGTCACGTATTTTATCTTTTACAAAGTATCCGACGTGCTGTATGGAAGGAATAAGAACTTAGCGGGATCTCCATTTGCTGTTTATTTTGTCGGTGTAAAATTTGCATAAACCATATTAATAAACAACCGATGAGTATAAATCAACTGTGATAAAAAAAAAAAACCAAAGAAATGTACCAGAGTAGAAACGAGCTTGTAATTTGCGAACCATTTTGCACCTTAATTTTAACGCGTTTTCAGAAACGAGGTTATGATGTACAGCTTGTTCGATATTAATATAAAAAGAACGCAAGCACGTTTCAAGAAATACATTGAAACTAAGAAAAGTGTAGATATGAATTTTCTTCATTTTGTATTTGGATGAATGTCCAACGCATTTTTCTGAGTTTGCCTTTCCTGACCTTAAACTTGAATTCTATTGGGGTTTTCATTCTGCTCTCAAGTTCCATTCAAATCATTTGCGTTATGTGTGTCTGACACCAGTCATCATCAGTATTTTCCGAGCGACTTACTCGATCGAGGTCGGAGGAAAATTCAGAGTAAAATTCCATAGAAAGGTTCTCTGAAGACCGAAAACAAGTAAAACAAACTGTTACGGCTGATGGCTTCTTGTTTTGATCGGTTGCTTTAAAAGAGAAAATAGAATGATGAAATTAGCCTGCTACAAAGTTATCAGACACCTGCTGTTCAAATGGAAGTGACGTTAGCGAAGCTGTTTTAAATAGAACAGCCATTAAGACGCCTGAGCGTTATGAAATGCGAATAGGTGATGTGTGGAGAGAAAATGCAAAGGGTTTGACATCCATTGAGGGTGAAAAGATATTTTGTTAACAATGTCTTTTTATCAAACGGTAGGATATCTTAGATTAGACACTGGCTCAAAACTTATAAACGTCACTTCTATTTCGAGCCTATGTAAAAATTTGAAATTTTTAACAATCGGACGTTTGTTAAACCGTCGTTTATTCTTTACTGAAAGTTAAGGCAATCCGTCTGTGGCCCGACGCACCCCTTCTCTTTAAAACGGAACTGCTGTCAATATCTGTTGGTTTATGAATGTACGCTAAAGGAAGCCCGTTCAGCCTCGCATTAGCCATGCTTGTTCGGGACCAGGTTTGAAGCCCTCTCAGTAAGCTGAAAGAACGCTCGTATGAACTGGAGCCAACTGGAAGGGTCTACAGAAGCTGTAAAATGGTCGATGTCTTTGGATAGAATTCTTCATTGCAATGGCTCACTGCTTGTTGCAAGCTTTGGATTTGCTTAGAATCGGAGTTGTCGTTCTTCATCTTCCAACACAGTAGCTGTTGAAAAAAATACATTCCTTTTATACAGATAAACGAATCGCTATTCTGGAATTGCTCACTCAAAGACTTAGATTAAGGAGTGAGTTTCCTTAACTCTTGCTCGAATTCGGCTTTGTTAGGGAGTTCGTCTCCAAGACTTTGTTCTTTTCTTACTACAATAGTTTCATCAAACAAGTGCAACTTTGCGGGTATGAGGAAACTGGCTAGTAATACTCCTTGATCTCTTCTGGAAATCTGTCATTCAAATGCTGAATCACATGATCAGTGAAGGGATAGTAAAAGTTCACTTTATAGTGCGCTTCTATGTCCCCACCAACATGCACATTCGCTTAATGATGTAATGTGTGAAACACCGACCTTAGCAGCGACTGCAGTTGCCCTTAAATACAACGAATGGAATCTTTCATCTGATCACTGAGAAATTCCGTGCATCTTCATGAGCTAAGACTAAATCGCACTCTTTATTCTACAGGCCCACCGACAGAGGTCTAGTAAAAGCTAAAATGTCCTGACAAATAACAGCAGCTACAATAAAGCAGAATGCGCTCATGCTGTAAAGATACAAAGCGAAGTCGTGAGAATTCTGACCACTTGACTGAACTCGCACTTCATCAAGGGCTTCATGGACAGCTTCATAATGACTTAACAAAGTGCTGATCGAATTTACTAGCGAAAGCCACCTGGTATCACTTAATGTCGGAAGGTGATATCGGTTTCTGTTCGCTCTCAATGGGATGACGTCTTCACATTGGTCGTCCTCTGTTCCCGCTGAGAGGCCAGAGGGCAAGCAAGTCATTACCGGCGCTTTCTGAGAGTTTCTCCGAAAGGATCCCCTTACATTTAGGACTGGCAGAAAAGAAGAAATTAATGAATTTGAAAGTATTTCAGAAAGTTTCTGACTTCGGGAACTTTATTGCTGCTAGCAACAATGGCTAAATTAAGGCAATGGCTTCTGCAGTGCACAAAAAACTTTGCTTTAAGCAGTTTTGAGATTATCTTTGCTTGAACCCTTGACAACGTCACTTACTCGAATCCAAACCCCATTGTTGTACATTCTCTATTAGAACTTCGGAAATGGTTTGGACGTCTGTTTTATGTAGGTCAACAAAACCAAGAAAAGCTTCTTCAACCTTAAAGTTGTCCGTGAGATACCTTATACAGACAGAAAGTTGTTTTTTTGTGGACTCCTCTATTGTCTCGTTGGCCATTACGCTAAGAACTTTGACTTCTTTATTTGTTTAACGTTACTCTCGCAAATTTCGTCTCCTAGGCAACAGATAAGTTCATTCTGAATTTGCGGAGATAGGTAACGCGCATTTCTTGGGGAGGTATCCAAATGATTCCCTAAGAATAAAATAAAATAAACTCTTCCACTCAATAAAGTAGTCAAAATTAACATCTTCTCGGTGTTGCTGTGAGTTCCAGTTACCCCTGAGTGATATTCCCCGCACTGCCAAGGTGGTAATGACATCGAGAATTGAGAGCGAAATAGTGCGATTTTTTTGTATACTCGCATTATAGGCAGTTCTAACCTTGCCCCGATCGAAAGCCTTTCATTATTTCAGATAGCAGGTACAGAAACAACCGTCAACGGAGGGAGGGTAGCGTAGCCAATTAAATCTCTGTTCCCACTTTGAATTGAAGCAT